GACAACTCTCTGCATATGTAGGCTAATTCGAAGTATGCGTTTCTCTCTAGGCCTATGCGCGTTCACTGCGAAGATGGCGAGTAGCCTAAGCATCATCAACTTTATCTTTGCTGCTGACACTGACAGAAAACACTAGTTTATTAATAAACAATTCAAATGTTTCATGCATAATCATTACTTTTGCCGGTTCTTTGTGGCAAGCTATGCATACGTTGAGATGCGGAATAGGCAATTAAAAACGCTCATATGGTTTCTCTCCCATTTAATTAAATCAATATATGTGATTACTGATTAGACAAATGGCTTAAATGATCTACTACTAGTCGACTAGAAAACTAGGACTCATTTTGAGGAATGAATGAACATAAACAAACCTCTGTTCAGAGTGCCGCCGTGCTGGATTGCGTAGAACGCTCATCGAATTTGAGGATTTATAGAGTTTAGGCTAAAAACAGGGCTGGCGCTTATCGCGGTTTAGAAAGAAACTGTATCTTGCAGTACATTTTAAACAAGGAAATATAGCGATTTGGCATGAAACGTTGATGGAGCAGTGAAAGGGTTCTGTCCACAGCAGAATGACACGACAAACTCATTTTTTTTTTTACAGAAGACTAGAAGACTTCAGTCAGCATAAAGAACATTTGTTTTATAATATTGGATTGACTAAAATGGGAGTAGAACCTAAATAAATTTCAAGGTTCCCATTTGATTCAGTGGAGCCCCTTTCACAAAGCACGTTGATTCCGGGAAATTGCCAGAACGCTTTCTGTGAGAAAGCAAACACGACCCGGGATTGATAGCGGGTTGGGGACCTAATAACATTGCCGGAATCAGTCCCGGAACACGCGCTGTGTGAACAAAAGCCAGGACCAATGCCGTAAGGGGTGTGTCATAGTGATGACGCTCGTTCCATCGCGCGACTCTGTTGCTCTTAGAAGAAAGTTTGTGTTCGTCATTAACAAAGAAAGGATGAACAAATGTCCGCAAACTGGAACGAAGTAGAGAGCAGGGGCTCCTCACTATCCGCGCTGAAGCTGAGATCGTTCACCAGCTTTGTGGAACGGTATGCGTGTGTACATGTTTTCGACGTGTAAGTTACACGTCTCATCTTGACGTCATGTGTCTTTCCGGGATCTTTACGGGTTGTGTTTGAATGCATTTACAGATCCCCGCAAATCACTGGCAGTGTGAATGAACCGAAATCAAACAATCCGAGGACAAACGCCGGGTCACATTATCCGTGTATTTTCCGGAATCTCTGTGAGAAAGGGGCTTGTGATTTGTTGCCCCTCTAGACCTACTAAACGGTGTACCGCAGTCAAACAAGAAAAGCAACAAAACAGTAAACCACAAATCAAAATGCACATATGAGATTGAATCGTCACCCCAGGAATCGATTCGAATCGTGAGGCACCAAAAGATCCCCACCGCTAATGTCTTTACCATAGACGGGTGTTTTCCCAGGCAGAATGACCACAATGAGCTGCAGTCCCACATAAGACATCTTGAGATGCTTGAACATCGGCTCCACGCTGTCTGCGCCCTGGGCGTATTTGCAGAAGCAAGGCTGGCCTTGGATTGGCATCCCTGCATCTTTAGAGATCTTGCGCAGCTGGTCAGTGAAACTCCTAAAAACACACAGTGTAAAATCTTTAAAGGAATAGCTCACTTAAGTTCTGTCATCATTTACTCTCCCTCAAGTCACTTCAAACCTGTATATGCATTTCTTTCTTCTGTTGTAGGAAAAGAAATACTGTCGAAGTCAATGGGGTCCATCAATTGTCTGGTTACGCTCATTCTTCATAATATCTTTTGTGTTCAGCAGAAGAAAGAAATTCATACGGTTTTGAAACAACTTGAGGGAACTTAAAGCTTATCTTGACCAGGGTTATTAGTTAATTGAAACTAAAACCAGATTCAAGTTTTAAATCTCAATGAACTAAATTAAGGCATCTAGGTTACTTAAGTTGAACCAACAAATTTGGTGGAAAACGGTGTCTTAATTAAAATCTTCAGTCTTTTTCAGCTTGACTATATTATCGTTAATGAAAAACAGGTGTAAACAATGGAGAAACAAAAGCACATTATAGAATGGAAATAACAGGGTTCGTACAGACACTGTAAAACGAAATTAAGACTTTAAGCACTACTTTTTTGGCTAAATGACTAAAATCAGAGATCTCACTTATCAAACAATATCTTTAATTACTTTTTAGAATTTGAAAGATAATAGATTAGTAAAAATAAAACAAAATGATACAAATAAAGAGCAACACATGCAGTGACTGCAGTATTTTAACCATTGAAATGATACTATGACAAAGACATATAGCTTTCTTATTCAAACGGATTTTTCTCCCATTACTATATGATTGGCCTGAACAATGAGAACCCATTTAATTGCTCATAAATTGAGGCTTGTACGAACCCTGCAGTTAGGAATGAGCGGAGTGATCCTTACTTGAGCAGATCCTCTCGGCACTGTTTTTGCGGGGCGAAGCAGGCCACGGCCCAGACCTTGATCTCGATACCCGCGTAAAACTGCTTTCCTCTCATGTCCCAGACGCCCTGGTTAGGCGTGGCCACCGTCTTGTTCTGAGGAGAGAGTCCCTACACTCTTAGTGAACCCCTCGGCTCTCTACCCAACCCGCTAACCCATCAAACCCAACATGCCAACCCATCAAACCCAACACAACCCACAAACCCATCTCTGCAGGCCTGGGCTAATGGTGCGTTCAAGTCATCTCGTAAAGATTGTTTTTAAAAGTTGTGTGCACCACAATGTCATAAATTCCAGTGGAAAGCTCGGGATGTTCTTTAAGCCCCGATCTTTACGAGTTGGGGCGTGTGAGTGAACAACATGGCTCAAAGGGGTGGGATAACGCCCTTTTCACCAGATGTAAATGAAGTCTGATGTCCTCAGAGTGTGTGTGTGACATTTTAGCTCAAAACACCCCACAGATATTTTTATAGCATGTTAAAGTTTGAGGGTGAGCAAAAACGAGTAGTTTTGCGTCTGTCCCTTTAAATGCAAATGAGCTGCTGCTCCCGGCACTCGTGGAAGCTTGTGTAGGTCCTACCAGCCGTGTGTTGTAGTCCTTATTAAAAAGTGATGTCTGTAAAAGCAAATCTCTCCAAGATATCAATAACTAATGTTGTTTGTTCAAACAGCAACATTACACACTAACTAAATCTAGAAAAGTGAAATCATAATCAACCGCACCTTCAAAAGGCATTTAGCAGTGATATTGTCAGGCTTTTCTATTTACAGCGCAGTAAGCAAACCGCCTGCACAGAATATGATGGCATTATAATATAATGTAATATGTGACGATAAAGTTTGCAGTGGCTTCATAAATGAATTCAAAACACCCGACACACATTTCTTTATTCTTCATTTTCTAGAACTGAGTTTAAGAACCTTGCTGGATTTTTAAGTAATTAAGAGAAAGGTCTCCGCCATCTCACTCCAAAGACAGTGATTTGACACGACTTCCCACATCGCACTTCGATCTTCCCAGGAGGACCTGAACGCACCAGATCACCAGAGAGCACACACAGAATAAACCCTCTCCAGCCTCCTCACACACAGAAGGTTAATAATGAAAAGAATTATAAAGAACTTAGGCCAGAATACAGAAGTTGTTTGACTTTAACAGTAAAGAATGGCTCCAGTGTTCAGGGGTTATGAAAAAAAATTAATAGGTCATATTTCAATTCCAGATGTTTTTGAATCACAAAGTTTAATCAAATATACAGTGGTCAACATTTGAAATGGATCAAAAAAGTTCAAAGTTGTCCTAAGAAAAGAACGGGTATTGTTCAAAATTAATATCTAACTTTGATGAACAGTTTTGACCCATTGTAAATGTTGACTACAAACCAAACATAGCAAAACATAAAACATAAAAAAATCGATTAGTCATCCTGTTTCATTTGAATGAATGGGACATTGTATCGCGGCTGCGCGCATCCAAAAAAACAAAAAAACAAAACAAAAAAAAAAAAAACGCAATAATCTTTGTCCTTTGTTACTATTGATATTAAACAAAGTCTCAATTTTCAAATGACGTCCATTTTCTTTAGAAATTCAAAAACATAAATAGCGTTTTGGCTCTGTGGCGTGAGATCGCTCTGGCGCAGCTCAAGAAAAGCAGCGGTGATCTCTCTTCCGGCTTAATAATACCAGTCACAGCGCGAAATAAACATGAATGAGCTTCTGAAAGCATGTTAAAACATAGAGTACAACTTATCTAAATCCGTATCATGTCACATTGATTCGCTCAATCAGCGTTTCAACCGTGGAAAGACGTCAGTTAAACAGCTTGTAATCAATGTCTTGTCATGTATCGTCATATTTACCTCAGAAAACCCACATAACACGTTAGTCACTAGAAAAAATAACTCTAGAGAGGAGCATTTTGCCAAATATATACACCATATTACATATGCATTATAATCTTAATGTTCTTCAATACTTAATGCATATTTGAATAAATCTGGCAAGTTTTTATGACAGCCACCATTTAAATGTTTATATTTCATATAATCTTCTTATTATAAAAATAAATAAAAGTGTAATTTAAGTGTTTGTATAGCTACAAAACAGTTCATTATTACCTTCATATTAGGCTAATGAAGCCTAGTAGGCTACAACTAGACTCCCATAGTTTACAGCATTTAAGAGATTTGATACCCTTGAGAAAAATTGCTATTTATTGTAACTGATATCCAAAATAATCGATATTGAATCGAAATCGAATTGCAAGCTTGTGAATCGAAATCGAACCGAATTGTGAAATTTGTCTCAATACCCAGCCCTATCAAATATAATGAAAAATAATAACAAATAAAATATAATCAAATATATTTATCATATGTTATAACCAAATTAAGAAAATCCCTGAAGACTGAAGCACACATTTAATTAAAAAAAAAAGCGCAATCACTCAAGAGGTCACTTCACAGGAATGAATATCAGACTCTACTGGGAGGGTAAAAAAAAAAAAAAAATCCCAATATTAAGATGAAAAATGACTGACGAGTAACTCGTTAAAATGAGATGCTTTTAGTCTTAAAGTCCCCCTGTAGTCAATAGTCGTATCCCTTAAAAGTCATCTTTGATCACCAAAATGACATAAATACCCTCGCCTCATTTAGTATGCACAGTTCTATGGATATGCAAATGAGCCCCACCTCCACTCACTCTCTCAGAGATCCACTGGTTGACGATCACACGTTGATCTGATTGGTTACATGGTCGTTTGTGACATCAGAAACACCAGTGATTTCAAACCATGTTTTTGAGACTGTCTTTGGTTCACTGCAGTTTTAAGGAGCAAAATACTCAGCAATGCTGTCCACTTATGAACTTACACATGGTGTGTCTTAAAGCGTATTAAAAACACCACATACACGCATAAACAACATTAAATGCTGGATTTTCACCACAGGGGGACTATTTTCCTCACTGCATTATATTTGAGCTCCTCAACATGAGTCGCTGCTGAAACACAGGAGTCTGATCATCATGCCTCGTGTTAGTCCATGCACCGCGCGACTAGGGCTGGGCACAAAAATTGATTTTCGATTAATCGTTTTTTAAAATGTGGTCGATCTAAAATCGATTCTCAAAGGCCACGAATTGATTTCTCCATATTTATTCATCCAGTATTAGTGTTCCTCCACTGTTCAGACTTGAGCCTCAACGCTACAGATAATGCTGTGAGAGTTTGTGTGTGTGTTATCTTGAACAAAAGAACCTGATCGTGTTTGATCAAGGCCTGCGACTCTTCTGATGCGTACAATTTCCAGCATCAATTTTTTTTATCCTGCATTAAAATCCTGTCTATTCATTGTATGCATTTGAAACAGAGTTGGGTTCTGTTTTGATGTACCTAAAATAAAAAGAGTTTAATATACAGTATTGTGGCTCTTAATTTCTTTTATTAACCACTTATGCACTTTTGTTCACTGTTTTTTTTTTTAATTTAGCGATTTCTATTAAATCTATTGAGTCGAATCAAAATCGAATTGAGAGCTTGTGAATCGAAATATCTGAATTGATACCCAGCCCTACACACACACAAACACACACACACACACACACACCCGCACCCGAGCCCCAGTACTCACCCTGCTACAGTCCCTCCCGGTGTCAGTACTCACCCGGCCCCCGTACTGGAGCATGGGCGCTGGGAGGACCCGCCCCGTCACCTCCGTCATGTCATTGTGCACCACGATCCCAAACTCCTTCAGGTACGGGTCGGGTCCGCCCACCATGCTGTTGCTTTTCACCTGCAACCATTAATAGGAGCTTTAGTGGAGGAAGCAGCAATCACTGCAAAAATGCTTTTCTTACTTTGTCTTGTTTTCAGTCCAAATATCAAAAAAACCTTAAAATCAAGATGCATTTACTAAGATATTATGTGTTTTCTGGGGAAATAAATCAAAATTAAGTGAGTCGTTGCTTCAAAAAAAAATCTTATCTTATGGCCTTTTTACTACTTTAGCAAAAAAATTCTTAAATTAACATGCATTTACTATTTTCACTGTAAACAAGACAAAAACACTAAGTAAAGAAAAGCATTTTTGCAGTTAATCAAGTTATTACAACTATAATATTCTGGGAACACTTTACAATAAAGGTTCATTAATGCATAATCTAACAACATGCAATACATTTGTTACTATATTTACTAATCTTTGTTAATGTTAGTTAATACAAATCCAGCTGTTCATTGTGTGTTGATGTTAGTTCACAGTGCTTTAATGTTAACAAATACAACCTTTAATTTTAATGACGTATCACTAAATGTTGAAATTCATATCAACTAAGATTAATAAATACTGAAGTATTGTTCTTCATTACAGTCATGCATTCTTAGTTCATGTTAACTCATTTAGGTACTGTAAATAATGAACCTTATTGTAAAGCGTTACCAACATTCTTATATAATAGTTAGGGATGCACCGATGATAATTTTGGCCGTTACAGATAACTCTTTATATTTGAAAGCCGATAACCTATATATTGGACGATAAATCTAAATCCAAATTTTTATACATTTTTTGAGCCCGATTAAAAGTCTCACCATTAAAGAGCCCATCATAGCATTTAAAAATGTTCCTATTTTTGTTTTAGGAGTTCCCAAAAACAGTTTAACATGCATGCAAGGATAAAAAAAACACTTTGTCTTATAATATGCATTTATTTTTAACTGATTTGCTCACCAACTCCCAAATGATTCGTACAACGACTCATTTTTCCAAACCACTCCTTTGCATGACGCTAATCGGTGGTGATTGGTCAGATGACAGACCCAGTCAGTTATTGTTGGTTGGCATAACACAAACATATTGATAAAGCACTGCAGAACTACAAGACGCTCTATTCTTTATGACAACTCCAATAACAGCTACAAACATTTTACATAGGGCTGGGCAAAAAAATCGATTTTTCGATTAATCGTTTTTTAAAATGTGTTCGATTCAAAATCGATTCTCAACGGCCACGAATCGATTTTTTCCATATAAAGGGCTCGCGGACGCGGTGCTGCATCTTCTCGTCTCTCTGCACTATGCAAGCGCCAAACGCTGCAGCTTTCGATACACACACGCGTTCAGGAGTCGGGACATGACGGAATATTCACTTAACAATCGGGCCAGCATTGCATCGTAACCTATGATCGGAACTAACGTTTATCATTTTCACGTCTTTTTGTGTTTTACAAGCAATGTTAAACCATCCCATGCTCGCGGACTCTCAGAGATGTCTTTCACTGCGTGCACAGTACAGGCTAAATCTGCCTCACAAACAGCTCGCCAGAAACAAAAGTTTTGTCCCTGGATTATATCACTTTAACAGTTAAGACACGCAACATTATGTCAAAACTCTGGTCTTGGTGAGTAACCTCGTAAAGACAGTCGGTAATGTCTTAAATTAGCATTAAACGCGTGTGACAGAAAGTTAATTAAACAGTATTCGCGCACTAGTTCTTAAAGTGAACGCAGCCATTTGTGTCAGTCATTAATTCTGTTGTCATAACAACAGAATATAGTATTAATTGTAAGCAATCAGAATTAAAAGCCTTTGTATTTAATTCAGTCTGGACTAAAAAGACTATCCAGTGTTATTTTACATTGGATTCCTTTATTCAGTTTCTGTAGTATTTCTGACATACCCAAAAAACTACCCCAAAATGTCTCTTAATTTGTGTCTTTATTCTATTGTATTTATTTGTGCTACTTTTTTCAATTTAATTCAAAGATTGAAATCAAGCTTCCATACATAAACTCTTAAAACAAAAAACAAAAATAAACAAAAAAATTACATTACCATTTAGGTAAGATCAATGTAAAAAAAAGTCTAAATATTTATATATTTATCTATAGCTATCTTAAAGATAAAATAACATGATACTGATACTTGATCAAGCTGTGTGACTGTTCTGACTTTTTTTGCATCAAAATCCTGTTTATTCTTTGTATGCATTTAGTGTACATAAAATAAAAAGAGTTTTATATACAGGTTTATGGCTCTTAATTTCTTTGTATTAATTAACCACTAGTAAACTTATGTCCACTGTTCTTTTTTATAAATATAGGATTTGTATTACATCTTCATTATAGTCGAATCGAGAATCAAATCAGGAATCGAGAATCGAAAATTGAATCGAGAATCGAAATCGAATCGAACTGAGAGCTTGTGAATCGAAATCGAATCGAAATTGAAATGTGAATCGATACCCAGCCCTAATTTCACATGTTAAAAAAATGACATTGGAGACCTAGAAGCTGCACTGAGCGTAACTTACACACACAAACACACACGCACACACATACTTATTGCGCCTTCCCTTCTCGCGCCCGACGCTACAAAACCGTTCCAAAACCCATAAAAGGAACAATTATTAATAATACTTACAGGTTGTAATTCATAGGAGGAAGCTGATCCATATACACTAGGTAAGTAAGTTACTGAGCCATCTTTCAGGAACAACTGCTTGTGAATCCACATTTGAATTCATTTATGTTTTTGAACGATTCGTCATTAAAATCAGAACACAATCAGGCTATACTGTTGTGGTATCGTTGCAAATATGAACTCTAACCACCGATTCTTCACATGCTCGTCCCTGGTAAATGAAAACAAAGTGGCTGAACTATCTTTGCATTGTAGAACACAGCCTCTTCTCGACATGACGCTATGATGAAGTATTTGAATGTGTAGACTTCAAGTTTACACTTCCGTCTGCGCTAGGCATGTGCCGGTATCAAATTTTCATGCTGCGGTTAATTGATTGAGCTTTTATCACGGTATACGGTATTATCACGATATTTTAATGAAATTATATTTTAATGCTCAAGAAAAACAGATGCATTGTGGGTCTCTAAAAAAAACCCCAACTTGCATCAGAGTGTGTAATTGTGATTTTCAAAACATATGATAACTAAACCGAATTGTTTAAAGTTTAGTGACAACATGTTACGTTGTTTACATGGTAAAATGACTGGTAGGTTACTGTTTGTATTATTCAATTAAATGCTTGGATTTGTTTTTAGTCTTAATTCAATATTGACTTATTTGGATAAATATTAGGTAGGCCCCAGTCTGTTAATGTTTCTCAAGAAAAAAAAAAAAAAAAAAAATCTCACATAATGCTGTAAACATACAGAGAGAAATTAAATATAATATTTAGCAAAATACTCCTTTTTTATTATTTTTAGTCAACTTATGTGCTGGTCATTATTAAATGGCTTTACTGAGGTAAATGTAACGTTTTGTTACACAACTGTTCTCCTGCAGTGTTACTGACCTCTTTCCGTGTTTGAAAACACTGATTGATCGTTATTATGTATAAGTAAATATACCTTTCGGTGAGTTGTACTGTACTGTATATACATAAAAACTAAAGTAACATGATCGGTTTACTTGAACTGAGGAGCAACGATCAGTGATCAGAACTTAAGAGCTGATTTATCAATAACTATCAATTTAACAATAACAACTTTCATATCAAAAGTAACCTGCTCTGTCTACTCTGTCGGTGTCAGTGTCCTCTTTGCTCTGTGATTTTTCTCTGTGGGAGAGCGTGTGAAAAGTGTCAAATGCATTAACACTAGAACGGCCACAACGGTCATTTTGACCGTTTTGAATTTTATATCTACAATAACTTTGTTGAAAAAAATAATAAAATCCTGCTGGTACCTGACTTTTCCTAAAATTGTCTGTATTTTCATTTAAAATGCTTTTCATATAAATAAAGTTATGTAAACGTAAGGCAAAACAAAAAAAAATGAACATATTTACCTATTTCGGCCATAGACGGTCATATTGACCGCACTGAATTTATATATCCCGCGGTTGATCGTGTTCTCTCCCAACTGTCAACAGAATGGTCTGTCCGATCACCTCTGTAGCTGTGTTTGCTATATAATAATTTCTACATTAGTTGTTGATCAGAAATAAGCAAATAAAACCGGACTACAGTTATCTATAATTCGGATGCAGGGGAACAATCGGAGGTGGAAAGTGACAGCGACGTTTCCTGGGTGCAAGTTAACATTTCCTCCTCATCAGAGATGATTCAGAGTCAAGAGTCCACATCAAGGAAAAAGAGACGGCTGCTATCATCAGACACGGCCGATCCAGATGGGTCCATTCATGTCGGATGATCGTGGTGAGCTCTGCTGCCCTGTCCTGCGCTGTTTGTTTTGCTGCATTGGCTGTTCACTAGTTCTGCGAGTCCTATTATTATTATTAGCCTTGACCGCGTCGCAAATCGTCACTATCTAACATTTTCGTCATAGTTTTGTCATTCAAACCTAGTTTTTATTTAGTTATTGTCTCGTTTTCGTCTTTGAAAAAATGTGGTTGACAAAAATAATTACGGAAAAATATTCATCAACACTGTTTTGAATCTAACGGTCAAAATGACCGTTTGTGGCCGTTCTAGTAGTTTTGGAATTCTGGCACTTCTAGTGTTAAGCGCCTTTCAGACAGGACACGGAATGTGCGACGCTGGCTGCTTGGTTCAACGTTGCCCCTCAGATACAACACGATATACAAATTTACAAAAAGTTGAACTATTTTGAACTTTAACCCAGGCGTGTGTTGGTCGATGCAGCAACAAAACATCCTTGCGCGTATTCCGTGTCCTGTCTGAAAGTCTCAAGGTGAATGTGTGAGAGTTGGCAGCCCTGCGGGGATAAATCGTCGGGAGCGTTCCGCCATGCTTCTACTCCATGTGAGGATTGTTTACATTTAGTGCGCACTGCCGCTTGCACACAGTGCTTATACATGAGGGGATTGTTTACATCAGAGTGCGCGCGTGTTTTGCACAGCATATACGCAATGTTTGAGCGGTTGATGGAAAATAAGCTAATGCGCGCTCAAAAAGTCTAAATTCAAATCTATTATTTTTCATGGTATTTTGAACAGCCTGTGATAACAATATCGTGCATATTCATTACAGCGATTTATCGCATTACCGAATACCGGCACATGTCTAGTCTGCGCGCGCAGTAACTGGGCGCGGCCAATGACATCTCTACGTCACGATGTAACAGCTAATGACTCGTTTCAAAAACAATTCATTTCATAGACTCAGAGTTGACTCACACTTTTGAAAGACAATAACTTTATATACGGTGCACTTTCAGATATAAATCTTTGCAGGATGTTTTCAGTCCCTTAGAGCTATATTCCACACCATATGAACAGTTATTTTTAAAAAATCATTATATTTGTACGTAGCCGTTACGACAGACTTGCGCTGCACATGTTGCACTTTACTGTATTCTCCTTTTTAAAGTGATTCATTTAAAGTGAATACTTTACTGTATTCTCCTTTTTCAAAGTGATTTTAAAGTGATCATGCTTCAAGCAATTCAAAACCATCATGTCGAACATCATGTTAAACTCTGATGTAAGAAACAACCCATTATTTATCGACTGAAAACTTTTTTCTAGGGATGCATCGATATGAACATTTTGGCTGATACCGATAATTCTTTATATTTGAAAGCAGATAACCAATTTATTTGGCTGCTAAATATAAATCCAAAGCTTTTACAATTTTGAGAGCAGATTACAAAAACAAAATTATTTATCGTCCAAATTTTATCATTGCACTGATAACGATATCATTATAAATGAACAAATATCGGCCGATACCGAAAATAAATAAATAAATAAATAAATAATAATCACCAGTCTGCTGATCTCCTCCTGTCTGTCTGGGGCCGAGCGGGCCGTCGCCTTGATCATGGTGGAGGTCTGGTTATCTGTGAGTTTCTTTATACAGCGCTGTCCTGCCACTATGTTGCAAACCTTTATGGAGGAAACCAGACAAGTGTTAACACATTACTTTCTGTATGAATAACTGATGTGTGGGCAAGCCTTACCTCGAGGGGCAGGTAAGTGTGCTTCTGCTCCTGCCCCACCTGGAGGCAGGGCAGATGGGGGTATTTGAGCTGCAGGCTGTACTTTTGCTTGAAGTACTGGGCAACGGTGCACTCCATGGCCTGGCCGTTCTCAAGCTGCAAAGGAAATCTGCAGGCACATGCGGAGGAGATGTAACTATCGGTAAATAATGCATCATTTTTTGCAAACACTGATAAATTTTGAAGACACTAACGTCTGATGGCTGGCTGGGCGGCGCGTGACGTTACACACACGGTACTTCCTCTTCATCTGCCCACAGTGTGTGACCTCCACTTTCAGTCCTAAACACACAATGATATTAACTCAGCAATCAATACACAACCAAAATTTAAGCAGTATTGGCCCTTGATGTAGTGCAACTTTAAAAAAATAAAATAATACTTTTAAAATCAGCAAGGATGCATTAAATTGATCAAAAGCAACAGCACAGACATTTATAATGTTACAAAAAATTCCATTTCTATTCAAAGAAGCCTGAAAAGAAAAAAAGGAAGTTTCCACAAAAAAAATATGAAGCAGCACAAGCGTTTTCAACATCAGCTTTGCATAGGAATAAAACACATTCTCCAATATATTAGAACTGCACAATTTTGGATTAATTGAGAATTATTTTTGTTTGTGATTGTTCAAAATCGAGATCTCTATTTTAAACAAGCAGACAACTTAAAATAATATGTACTTTACTAAAGGATCAAAATGTTTTTGTGAAATGTAAATACTTATACATAAAATTTAAAATCAGATTGAGTGAATCTGACTCACTCAATGACTTCACTTGTTTCATAACTGAATGAATCAGTTTTTATACGAATCTCTTGAATGATTCAATCCCTGCGTCCCAATTCGCATACTATCCATCCTAAATAGTATTCGAAAATAGAATTAGTACGTCCCAAATCGTAGTATGTTGAAATGAGTGTTTCAAAGATACCCGGATGGTCTACTTTTTCCGGTCAGAATCCGAAGTGTAGATCGATGCACACTCTAACGGCTGATATTGCCCACAAACCATGGGACGAGGATTCGGTTAGAACTACAAACACGAGTAAGTGTTAAAAAACTACAGACACGTAGTCGAAACGGAGGACGCGCGAGTCCCCGCGGTTGTGTAGAGAGGTTAAATAAAGAGCTTTGATGGATTAATTATCAGTATCTAACCTGACGAAAATGAATTTATTCAATGTTGTACACAATGGCCCTCATTTATCAAAAGTGCGTACACCAAATTTCCAGCGTACACCTTGCGTACACCCAAAACCACGGTGACTTTGAGATTTATCAATATGGACGTGGTGTACGCACGTTAGTGAGGAAATGCGGAGAAAAATTCCTAACACCACTTAACGCACTGAAAAGATATGATTAATGACCCACTGTAAAAAAAACACACAAAAAAACCAACAACAACAACATAGTAATTATAAACTTCGGTGTTTATTTTTGTGCAACGTGGACTTCAATGTTTAATTTGTGTGACTTTACAAAAATCATTTGATTTGTAAGCATATGTATTCCTTCAGTTGCGAGCCTGTGGACTTCACCCTGCCGTTTCAGGATTATCCCGGCAGGTGCGCACGGACACGGTTCGGTAAGGCTTTCATTGACCAAAAATATTATTCAGACTGACAAAATAATAAAAAATAGCTACATTCTTCTTCTTTTAAATAATAATAATACAAATAATAATAACGACATCCTTCTTCTAAATAACAATAAGCGTCATTAATACAAATCATATAGGCCTAATAATAAGAATATTACAAATTGTCATGCAATTATTAATGTGAATGAATGGTACTTCACATCACATCATCATCATTACTATTATACATGTGACGTGATTCGAAATTGAATGCTCATTTCAAAAGACGTGCTGTAAAATAATGCATTGTGATAGGTCATTTCGGTTCCACGTTGGAGAAGTCTTTGCCGTCTTCTGTGTGTCCATGGCGTAAAATGAGGGCGTGGGGGGAGCGGGGACGTGTTATTCTAATGACGATCGTTTTCGGCCGCGGGATTTATCAAGGGCAGGTATTGCGTACACCTGGATTTCAAAGGTACGCACAGCTTCATAAATCAGGCGGTGAGAGGAGCGTAAGCATAATATTACGCCAAAATATACACCCGTTTCTACTAGGGGTGGCACGGTTCACGAAACCGACGGTTCGGTTTGTATCACGGTTTTAGTGTCACGGTTTTCGGTTCTGTACGGTTCTTGTTATTTTTTTTCTTTTAATCTTTAACACTCCAGAAATGTACTTCAGCATGTGATATATAGCTTAATTATCCACACTTTAGGATACAGTATAAAAAAAATTATATTCATGCAATCATGCACAAACTGAATTTGACTCTTTGACTTTAAGCACATTTTGGGACTATCTCAGAGGAAAGCTAGGTGAGATTTTGATACAGCAAGAGAGAAGACATTGACATGCTTTTCATTTATTTTGAAAAAAAAAAGGAGAATGTGTATCACTATCTCTACAAGAACTTGAGCATTTTTATCACACAAATCTTATTTACACAAAGAAATTAACTTGCATTTATCAACTGACAACTTGTGTAGCTCTTACAAAAATTCTATCTTTTAAAAGAAAAAAAGAGGAACTACACTGTCTTTTATGAATAAGTTAATATACATGAATACCTCATTGCCTGTAATTAGGCTATAGCAATAGCAAAGGCCATAAACAAAGTGAAACATAAGTTCAACCTCAACACAAAAAACAGTATAAACAATGCTTCTATTCCCAAAAAGTGAGGGTACCTTTTTTCACTTGAAATTAAAGTGCAGGATTTCGAAACATATGACTGGAGCTCTTATCTAAACATAAAGTGCCACTGTAACGTTATATTAAAATATCATAACATGAAATCCAAAATGTTCCCACACACCGGACTTATACCATAGACTTATAGGACGCTCGCGCTCCCTCCAACTCCCTCATCTCTCCCACTTGCCATTTCTCCGCGTGCCGTGACCTGCAGCGCTCCATACTCCACTTTTACTGGATTGTTTACTAACTTGAACCGGCATACAGAGCGATCGGTAATGACATCAAATACCACGAAAGTGAGTGACGGAGCCGTCGTTCCCGCTCTAGTTTGATGTTATTCACCGGTCGCTCTGTGCAGCGCCGGTCCAAGTTGAACAAGCTTATGTCGTGCGAAAAGAAAACAAACGTGACATACGGGCACGAGGCTACATTGCGCATGCGTCGAACCGTGAGACGCACACACGCTCCGAACCGAGACGAGCGAACCGAACGGTTCGGGTGTTTTTTCATGTACCGTGCCACCCCTAGTTTCTACGCAACAATGATAAATGAGGGCCATTGCATTTGCAGCAGCATTGTGAACTTTTGTAAAGACACGTTTAGCCATTACGTTTTAAATGCATCATTACATTCAAATTGCAAACACGAGGAGAGCATGGAAGACCCACAACTGGCAGATAAACGTGCTCTCCGAAATGGTAGGAAATAAAATTAGATAGAATGGAGGATTTTAACTGCGACAAGATGATTGACAGGGCAGTTTACGGTGACAGGATGCACGCAGCACATGACAGAGCTGTCCATTAAAGATGACGTAATAGTATGTGCCAAAGCTTGCCTACTCTTTTGCTACACACTCAAAAGTATGTACTTTGTACTCACAAAAAGAGTACATACTTTTAGGACGTAGTATAAGTAAGCGAATTGGGACGCAGCAAGAGACAAACAGTCGCTTGTCGCCACCTACTGGTGTAACGATGAAATTGAGACCATCTTTATTTGAAGCGTCAAGATATTTTCAAAAGGTTTTGATCGCTACTGTAAACATCAGTGTTTATATCCTGACTATAAACTTAATTATTATTAATTGCAAGACAGAAATAATGATACTGTGTGGTTAAAAAAAAAAGACTGTGAAGCTGTTTCATACCTATATATGACACCTGCTCTCTCTGGGTCAGCGGCAGCGCCAACTCAGATCCCAATGTTCGCTGTGATCGTACTTGTCAAAAGTTTAATAGACAATTGGTAATTGTGCAGCTCTACAATATATTACACTTGAAAGTATTAAATTGTAACTTCATATTTTACTGTTTTACTGTATTTTTGATCAAATAAAATGCAGCCTTGATGAGCAAGAAGAGCCTCTTCAAACACATTTTTATAAAAATCATACAATCCCCAAACTTTTGAACAATAAATGACATAATGAACCTGCTCCAGTCCTCACCTCGAATCTCCTTGGTGAACTTGACACGCTGTGAATCTGTGAGGGGTTTGGTTTGCTCGTTGATGTTCTGAATGTCCAGAACCTCACACATGAACTCAATGACAGGCTGGGCTCGGTAGAAGGCTGTCGCTGACACTGGAGTGTGTGAACAAACAACAAAATCAAACATGTGCGATATACGCGTAGTTCAATTCAATACAATTCATATTTATTAGGATGGCGCTTTTCACAACACACAGTTTCAAAGCAGCTTTATAGAAAAAGTCCACATTACAATTTACAGTGACTGTTATCAGAGGTAACCATCTAAGTTAATATGCACATACACAAATCACAGTTAGCTATTAATTTATTTATTTTAACAAATGTAATAATTGAGCTCAACAATGAGCTCATTAAAGTAATGAACACTTGTTTGTTAGCAAATGACTAGTAACACAAAGAAAGCTTCAGAAAGCAAACATACCATCTATGTTGAGCATCATGTTCCACATCGCTGGACGGACCGACTGGTGAAAGCCGAACCACACCTCCCTCCCTCCCCCCAGCGGGTGATAGTAGCCCTCGGGCGGCGAAAAGAAGGATCGGCCCACTGGAGTGTACCTGCGGCACACGAGGCAGAAGAGGACGTGTCAAACACAGGTCATGTGTGACCCGAGACCACAAAACCAGTCTTATGGGTGCATTTGTTTAAATTGAGATTATACAATACATCGTATGAAAGATGAATAAATAAGCTTTCCATTGATGTATGGTTTGTTAGGATAGGACAATATTTGGTCGAAATACAACTATTGAACATCTGGAATCTGATAAAAAAAATAAATAAAAAAAATTTCAAAAAAAAGTTGTGTGATTGTGCGAAAATATATTTACGGAAGGAAATTTACTAATATCTTTGTGGATCATGATCTTCACCTAAAGGAGCAGTTCAAAAAAAACTTTCTGATAATTTACTCACCCCCATGTCATCCAAGATGTCCATCTCTTTCTGTCTTCAGTTGAAAAGAAATTAAGGTTTTTGATGTAAACATTCCAGGATTTTCTCCATATAATGGACTTCAATGGGAACCAAACGGTTCAAGGTCCAAAAGATTTTGAAGCTGCACTTGCTTCAGTGCAGCTTCAAAGGGCTTTAAACGACACCAGACGATGAATAAGGTTCTTATCTAGGACCCTTCAAGTCATGACTCGAAAAAAGATTTGTTCATTTTGATGAACAATTTGAACAGGAGACATTTGACATTAAAAATTTGTGCTTATATAACTTAAACTTTTTATTTATTTTTGAAATGACCAATCGTTTCACTAGATAAGACCCTTTTTCATCGTCTGGTGTCGTTTAAAGCCCTTTGAAGCTGCACTGAAACTCTCATTTGGACCTTGAACCGTTTGGTTCCCATTGAAGTCCATTATATGGAGAAAATCCTGGAATGTTGATCAAAATCCTTAATTTCTTTTCAACTGAAGAAAGAAAGACATGGACATCTTGGATGACATGGGGGTGAGTAAATTATCAGCAAAAGTTTTTCAAAAAGTGAACTACTCCTTTAAACCTACAGTATGCGATTTTTGGCCACCAGGGGTCACTCATTTAAAATAATAACGAAAGACGTACTTTAAAGAAACGTCGGGAAAGAGAGTGGGCTCACGGGAGTTGTTGTCGCTGTCAATGACAACCAGCTCAGCTCATGGCATGACATCATCGTTTCACAAAATATACGGATATACGGCATCTCTCTGTAGATTTAGCTTGTCGAGAAGCTTTAAATGCAACCCCAATGTTTACCTGTGTCATGCTTTTTCTCCTGTCCCAAACCCTTCTCGGGTCATATTTTTCATATGATTTCTGTGAAAAGGCGTTTCTTCATGATTTTTACCTGATCTCGTATAAATTTTACATCAAAATATTTAATGACGTAATAAGAAAGAGATGTCATTAAAAGTGTCTTATTGGTGCGATTAACCAAGCGCTACATAAAACAAACAAAACAAGACCTATGATTTAATAAGATAACATATTATAAAGACAATTCATATTTAATAATTGATTTGCGTTTCGAAACAGTGAATCATTTTGTGAAGCAATTGGTTCAGTTTCCTCCACTCACCCCATCTTGTGACATCACATCCCGTTTTTGGTTTGTTTCGAAGCCTTTGCCCAATTTTGCATTCATATTTCAGTCGAACCGCACCATAGGGTTGTGAATGTGAGGATATTTTCTCACCGGTTAATCGATGTGTGACAACACCGGCAAGGGCTTTTAAATCGCTAATTTAAAGGCAAACATAAAATGCGCACATTTTCACGGGCATACATAACGGTGCGGTAGTGCGGGAAAGAACTGTTTTGTTACTGTGCCCTGAATATGCGGGGCGAAACTAACTTTTGATTGACACTCATGTGATCTGACCAATCAAAATCCACCATTTTTGTCCGACAAAGCTATCCTGGATGCCAGCCCGAACTCCACCCACAACATTTTTTGGTCGGGAAGTTCGGTCTGGACTCGATCCATTGAGGAGAAATTATGATCAGGCAAAAAATGATCGGGCCAATCAAATTGCCAGGGCGGGCTTTATACGATGATGGACAGATGATCTGCAGGGACGTAATCACATTATCAAAGAGCGCTTGTCAAAGATGACTGCACCTGTAGAATTTAGATGTATAGATTCCACTGTAGCGTCTTTTGTAAAATAAATCGACAGCACATTCATTTTAATAGACAAAAAGAGAACTGCAATCAAGGCATTTGTCGATCGGAAAGATATTTTTGGCGTCCTTCCTACATGATTCGGGAAAAGTGTAACTTATCAGCTGGCTCTGACGGTCGTTAAGAAGATGGGACGTAATGAAAAGCCTGTGGTCGTTGTGGTTTCTCCTTTGGTGGCACTCAAGGAGAAGTAAGTAAAAGAAGCAACACTCGTTATTTAACTTCTAAAATAAATAAAGTTAGGCTACGTTCTGTATTTGAAAACTGCGCTATGCAATGGAGTTGACTTACTGTCTTGCTCTGATTGGTTGTCGGTCTACCGACTATCCAATTGAGTGCAGAGGTTTTATTTTTTCCTGGTTTGGTTACGACGCCTCATAATCAAAGCCCAACGGAGGAGTTTCAGACTCATATTCTCTCTTGAAACCAGTCAGGAGAGTTATTAGATTAACATCGGTGGAACTTGGCTTTATCAGGCAATCGGTCACGACACATTAAAGAGCCACAAAACGGTAGGCCTATTTATTGTTTGATTTTCTTTGACTGACCAAATTTGAGAGTTGAGACTTTTTCATATTAAATATTACCTGCTCAGTCCTGTCTGTCAACGCGTTGTCAGTGTCCTCTATTTTTCACCGCTTGAGAACATGGGTTGAATCCGAAATCGCCCCCTAATCTCTCATTTACTAGGCATATTCCCTACATTAGTCCACTAATACTGTTCACTTGAAGGAGTGAATGAGAAGGAGTAAGTAAAAACGAGTGAGCGAATTCGGACAGCCGTTGCTGACAGAGACGCAATCTGACTCGCGTCCCATTTTCTCACAAATCTCTACGTTCGTTTAAGACTGCTCTTATGGACTGCTCTTATTTTGGCATAATTTGTGTTATGGTTTGTTCAAGCCCGAAAGAGAACTCGATACCGACGCGCGTCTTTTCTGTGGGTCGTGTGTGTGTTAATAGGCAGGATTTAACGACTATTGCGTAATTGCGTTCAATATTTTTAAGGCTTTACACTTTTTTTTTGTGTTGACAACCGCGGTGGGCATGTTATGAAACCGGTGTTGCGACTGAACACCGGTAACACAGACTAGTGATGCGCGGGTCAGCTTTTTTCCAACCCGCGGGTCCCGCTTTTATGAAATTATTTGGCGCGCCCCAGCCCGCACCGCACCACTGTATTTTTACAACCTGCCCCGCACCCGCGACCGTTAAATAGACATAGTAGCTACTAGGCATTGTAATGTTAATGAAAACAGCCTTTATTTCAACCTGAAAGTGCTTGGAAACGTCGCCCTGTAAACTGGCAACAACAGACGATTATGAATATGAACCATAAATCAGGTCATATTAATAAACATTTTCAACTTTTACAAAGCAGCATTTGTATTCATCTAATAGGCTAAACCATTTTTTTATTTCTTAGACCCCCACAAATATGTCTTGACATGCTGGAAGTGCCCGTTTGAATATTTTTCACACGAGTTGCACTTCAGGTAGCCGAGATTACTGTTGTCTCCTGCTGCAACTACTTACGAGAACCGCTCCCAAACATTAGATTTAGCAGCCTGACCTTTTTTCTTTTAATCATGTATATTCCCGACCTCAATTTCTCCCGCACCTCGTCTTCCACCTTAACTTTTATTTCTCCGTTGTTGTTGTTGTCGAGGCTGTCGCGTCTGTCGGCGGGAGCTGCTTGACGCGGCGCTTTCATGACGTGTCACGTGACACCAAAGGTTTGGGAGCCTCACGCAAGTTACGTTGCTACGGCAATCATATTGTAACCTTATAAAATATGAAAATAGATATTCCCAATTGCAAGCAACATACATGGATAAAAAAAAAAATAATAATAAAACTTAATGACCCGCCCCGGAAATAAAGTGACAATTTCTTTACCCGCCCCAACCCGACCCGCGGGTTACGAGACGACCCGCGCATCACTAACACAGACTACCGTAGCAAGCCTACTGCACCAGAGTTTGTTTGGAGGAAAATGTGGGTCTCGGTCCGCTTGTTTGGGGTTCGGACGGCAGCGTTCACACTCATTCAAGCGAACCGCACTAACAGAGCACCAGAGCTCGTTTGGAAACCAAAGCCACCCTGTGCGAGACTGTGCTTACCGCATTGAGGGCAGGTGCCGAGTGATCACGTCCAGAGCCTGAACAGAGTCTTCCGGGACCTCGTTGAGATGGCCAGACAGCGCTTCCAGGAGCATCTGCAGACTCACCACTGACACCCACTGCAGAGACACCTTAAAGGTCTGATCCTTGCCCTCGCCTGGCAGCGTCACCTCCAGGTCCACCTGAGCCAGGGGGCGGCACACAGGACATGTTAACAGAAGCTTTAGATTTCATATAGGGTCATATATGACAATATTATAATGATGAACCACATGCGACCAAAATTTGTAAGGGTGCAACCAAAATTTTTCCTAAGTCGCACCAGTGCACCTAACGTTCTCGCATGATCGCAGCCGCTGACTCTCCACAAACGAGTCTTTTGTTCTCCTTGCACGCATGAAAATGTTCCGTGCAGTGTGATACGAAATAAATTGCGACCTGAACGTGAACACCAGAGAATCAGTTACAGCAATCAGCAGCAGAAGAAACAGACGACGAAGACACGTTTAAAAATGTAGACTACTTTTTATGGCCTGGTAAAAATATTCTCATATTGAAAAACTAATTCCCATTTTACGAACCCGTTGGGCTATGCTGTTTTCAGTTGATGAATGAATGGAAGATTGTAGCACGCAACGCGCATCCCATCCAATACATCGCAATAATCTTTGTGCTTTGTTACTATTGATATGAAACAAAATCTCAGATTTCAAATTAGGTCCATTTTCTTACGAAATTCAAAAACATAAATAGTGTATTGACGCTGTGGCGTGAGATCGCTCTGGCTCAGCTCAAGTGAAGCAGCAGCGCAGATCACACATGAGCTTCTCTTCCGCCTTAATAATACCACTTACAGCGCGAAATAAACATGAACGAGCATTTGAAAGTGTGTTAAAAGATAGTACAACTTATCGAAATCTGTATCTCTCACATGGAATTGCTCAATCAGTGTTTCAACCGTGGAAAGACGTCAGTTAAACAGCTTTTAAACAACGTAATTTAGCGTCACATTTACCTCAGAAAAAAAAAAACATATCCAGTGACCATAAACTCATTAGTCAGCTAGAAAAATTAACTCTAGGAGCATTTTGCCAAATATATGCACCATATTACATATTCAATATAATTTTTAATGTTTTTCAATATTTAATGTATGTTGTTTGAAAAATTCAGGCAAGTTTTTATGCAGCCACCATTTAAATGTTTATATGTCATATAGGCTAACATTATTATTATAAAAATAAGTAAAAGTGTAATGTAAGTGTTTGTGTACAAATCAGGTCATTTTTACCTTCAATATGATAGAAGGGTAATGGAACAGTGGGCTACAACTGACTCCCAGTTTACAGCATTAGTTGAGATTTGTTTTCCTTGAGATTTGTGAAAATGTGTCAATACCCTGCCCTAACTTGAAAAGTGTAAAAACAGCACTTTAATTTTTTTTAAATTTATATTTTTATATACAGTATAATTGTTCTTAAAAACAACAAAACAAATTACATCTTATTCGTGTTTAAAAGCATTTACATAATATATATGAATATATGGTGCATGATAAAAAGGTGACCTTGAAATTATGGCGTTAAAGGTGACGCAAGACGAGGAAAAATTTGAGTGCACCTAAAATTTGTGCTGGTGCACCCAAATAAAAAATTTAGGCGCACCAGTGCAACCTAGGCAAAAAGTTAGTCTGGAGCCCTGTGAACTGATGTGGAAATGTGCTCACGAATAGAACTGAAGCTTTATTTTACTAAAGAGCAAACTGTTGGGAGTCTGAAAAATTAAAAAAAACAACAATATATTAAAAAAAAATTAAGATAAAAATGTGACTTTCCATTTTTGTTGTAAATACCAGGACAAAAATCAGGAAATTAAGTTGTTTATTCTTTTGCACTAGTTTTATGTTTCACAATAATCGAATGGTTTGTTTTGGGCTTAAAATCATAGCCTGTCCAAGTTAAATTATTTAAAAAAAAATACTAAGTACATTTTTCCCAGATATTTTTTATTTTTTAATGATACACTGGTCTTGTGGTCCAGGGTAATATTATACAGTCACAAGAGTCATTTTTAAAATGATGATTTATACATCATCTGAAAGATGAATAAATAAGCTTTCCACCGATGTATGGTTTGTTAAGATAGTAATATCTGGCCGAGATGCAACTATTGTAATCTGAGGGTGCAAAAAAACATTGAGAAAATCTCCTTTAAAGTTGTGCATCCACAATTGTGGAATGTTATATATTTACGGTAAGAAAAGTACAAAATGTCTCCATGGATCATGATCTTCACTTAATATCCTAATGATTTTTGGCATTAAAGAAAAACTGATAATTGTGACCCATACAATGTAGTGGCTACTGCCACAGATACACCCGTGCGACCCTAGACTGGTTCAGGGTCACATGTGTTCATGCTCGCATTACCCGGTCCCTCCCGATGGGCAGTGGATGTGCCGTGTACATGTTCCTCTTGCCATCGTATCCAGGCTGCCGGTCCCCGAAGATCTGCATCTTAAAATGTCTCACCATTGTGTCCACCACCTCTCTATGAATGAAACAACACACACGTTAATACATGCAATTACTTACACTCATTGCCAATTACAGCTGCACTACTGTTTTCAATTTCCACAAATGCACACCCTAAATAAATGAATGAATGCAGTGTTACTCCAGAGTCTTGGGTCAGTGAGAGCGAGGTGTTGAGGGAGGCCTCCGCTCACCTGTTGACCCTGCGGGGCCGCTTCTCAGGCTTAATGTCGATGTCATAGTGGTAGACGTCGATCTTGGGGATCTGCACCTGGAAGTGATTGGCCAGAAGGCGAATCGGTTTCCCCACCGTCCCCAAGCCGGGCCGGCGCGGCGGCTGGAAGAGGGAGGGAGGAGCAGGCGGGCCTGAGGACACACACAGTTTAGATTAGGGCTGCAACGATTCGTCGACGTTGTCGACAAAAATCGATAATAGAAATAAAACCGACAATGAATTTCATTGTTGACGTTGTCGCCAGACATGTTTTTTTTTTCCCGACCGGGGCATCTCTCTCGATTACAAACTCTGCCGAGTCGCACATTGACATTAGCTTCTCTGCTGAGCAGTAATTAACATAGAGAAATGGCGTTGTCCAACGCATCAGCTGCACATACCAAAACATCTAAAGTTTGAGAGCATTTCAGCCTGGATACGGTGAATAAAAAGATTACCTGCATCATGCAAAGCAGTCCTTGCGTATCACGGCAGCACCTCGGTGATGCACAAACATTTAAAGAGAAAGCACGTCCGACAGTTGAATGAAATTTGAAGTTGAATGAAACGGAGTTTGACTTGCCTCGGTAAGATTTACCGTATTTTCCGCACTACAAGGCGAACTTAAAAGCCTTTAATCTTCTCAAAAAACGACAGTGTGCTTTATAATCCAGAGCGCCTTCTATATTGATCAATTAGTTAACAACGCCCCGCGTTATTAAATTCGCCCGCGAACTCGCGCTCGTGTCCATCTTATGCCTGCTTTGTCACACGGCCAGTTCAACCTCATATAAATCAGCTTATGTGTCTCCCGCTCACGAGCGCTCACTCTTAACTAGACACACGAACAGACACACTGTCCCCGGCGCTGCTCGCGTGTCACAGAATGTTCATAAGGCGCTCCCCATTCACAGTAACCGGGTCTTCTCATTCAAAACACCCAGCTGTTGTATGTTATGAAATGTTGGAAGTTACGACCCTTATTTCTTGTGTTTACTATAATTTCCCACAGAATTCAAGCAATCTCTATGCTAAATTTTAGAAAAATGTAATAATCATCAGATTAGTCGACTAATCATCTCAATAGTCGGTGACTAGTCGACTATTAAAATACACACACATATATATATATACACATTTTTTTCCAGTTTTTTTCTGATCTGAAAAATGATCCTACCCATGGCTCGAAACCGTAAATGTTCCGAACCGTAAATATTGTGATGCGTTCCAGCACTACCGAAGTGCCCTTTCCTGTCATGATATAGCCTAACAATGTTCGGCTTCCAGATTGACGACACCAAAACAAGCAACTTAACAAGACAACATGACAGCCAGTGTGACCTTTGACCCACCAGTGGAGTAAACACACGACTAAATGAGGAACAATAACAGCCAATCATGTGTCCCGCCTTCACACAAGCCATCAGACAAAAGTGTGTGTGTGTGTCCAGTGCAGACAGACAGCAGCAGGGTCACAAGGGGGGGTGCGATGATGCGTTGACCGTGACATCAAAAGCCCAAACACTTGCCTGCTAAAACACAAACTCACGTAACATCTAGGCCTAAGACTTTAAAACATGACGAAAATGTAAAGGCATATTTAAGACCCACGATTTCCTCAAAACAGAAACGCAGAATCCAGTCGTAAATATGTAACATGTATGTATACATTGGTACATGTATCAGTAATTGTATATTTCAAATGAATAAATCAAAAGCAGGGCTGTACATAAAGTTATTAAATCGCACAATTTTTCTTCTACCGTTTAATTGATACTGTTTTTGATAATAAATTTGTATTGAATCATACTGCTATGGTTTAATTTGAACAAACTCCATTGTGCAGGAATAATTAAATTTTCATTCAATTACATTTTAAAAGATTGAATACATTTATGCTTTCATTTAATATTAAATTAAAGTTAATTAAGTTAATATTAATTTCAGCATTTTACTAAAACATTATTAATATCAAAGGCTGTATTTGTTAACATTAATGCAACAACTAACATACACAAAGAACAGCTGTTATATCAACTAACATTAACAAAGATTAATAAATACTGCAACAAATGTATTGCACATTGTTAGTTAATACATAAATATTAACTAATGAACCTTGTGTTACCCAAGTGTTACCTATTTAATTAGTTAAACCATTAGTTGTTAAATTATCCATTATTATTTAAATTAACATTTAAGCATTAAATTAGAGATCAGAAAAATGAATGGAAAAAGAATTTAAAAATTAAATAAAATATCAATCCGATGTCACAGGACTGTCCCTATCGGACACGGATGAGCGGGAACGGCCTCAAACGATGCAACATCACTTCCTTATTGCAAACTGTACGGTGTATTTTGGGGATACGCTGCACCCACTGGTCACACACACCCCCCCTTACACACACGCTCCAGTTAGCAAGACAAGCGGCGGGAAGAACAATTGGGAGCCTCTAAACCGTCCCGTCCACACACACAGCCAACACAGCCCTGACCCAGAGCATGAACACGGCTGGGTGGAGACTAGGCCGGGGCAAAAATCTATTTGTCGATTAAAAGTTTTTTTTTTTCGTTTTTTAAATATGGTCTATTCAAAATCGATTCTCATAAGGCCACGAATCTATTTTTCTCCATATTTATTCATCCAGTATTAGTGTTCCTCCACTGTTCAGGCTTGAGCCTCAATGCTACAGATAATGCTGTGAGAGTTTGTGTGCGTTTATCCTAAACATAAAATAACCTGATCGTGTTTGATCAAATCGTGCAAATCTTCTGACGCGAACAATTTCCAGCATCAATTTTTAAATCCTGCATTAAAATCCTGTCTATTCATAATATGCATTTGAAACAGAGTTGGGTTCTGTTTTGATTTACCTAAAATAAAAAGAGTTTAATATACAGGATTGTGGCTTTTAATTTCTTGCTATTAATTAACCACTTATGCACTTATGTTCAAGTTTTTTTTTTTATTTAAATATAGGATTTCTATATCCTATATATATATATATATATATATATATATATATATTTATATATTTACTTCTAAATCTATATTCATTGAGGGAAATCAAATCTGAACATCTAGTGGAGACGGAGAACACCAGCATTCATTAGAAACCCGGAGGACTCTATATATAGGCTACTCAGCTGTTACACTTCACACACACCATGATGGGTGTCACATCGATGCTACAAGTGGGAAGCTAGGGCTCAATGAGCTCTCCTAAAGCTTTCATTTGCATTATGGGTAAAATATCCCATGAACAAAGGCACTGGATTGCTTAGATCCAAAACATCAAATAACAGCTTTCGGGTCTAGAAATCACGAGAGCTTTTACTGAATACTGTAAAGTACATAAATATTATACATATATTTGTTGCATTATTTTCCTGTTATCACTGTAAAGCTTCTTTGAAACAATCTATATTGCAAAAAGTGCTGTATAAAAGTGTACAAATGAAAACAAAAAACATAAATATTAAGAAAACACAATCTATTGAGTCCGCATGATATAGGCGTTAAAAAGGCTGCTCATGTCTTTTGCGTGCTCAAGTTCGATTTCAAATATAGGCCCGCGGTGCCTCCACAGTCTTGTCGTCTTTGTTTTACAATGCAGCCAGACAAAAGATTTAGATTTCTTGGACATTTTGTCGACTAAAGCCAAAACAAGTAGCGTTCTAAATGAATGAATAATCCCTTTGAAAATGATGAAAAATGAAATGAAAAACCGAGCGCGAAGCAGCAGCACAGCCGGCCACAGGCGCGTTCCCGAGTGCTCTATGTGTGTGCGCGCTAAAACTGTGGCGCTGTTACAAAATAGCCTAAATTAAAGCATTTAAAGTTGGGGATAAAACAAAGGCTAATTATATTTAGAATACAGTAATAAATAATTGCTTATAAAGGAATAAATATAAAAAAAAAAAAAAAAAAAAAAGTAACTGGTCGACCAATAAGAATGTCAGTCGACCATTAGTCGACTAAACGACTAAAGTTGACAGCCCTAGTATACATAAAGGTGATGAGATTTCAAAAATGGTAAGCAAATAAGGTCCACAAAGGATACAGACAGTAGCACTGTAGTCACATGACCCATTATGCTGCATGTGTAGGTATAAAATAAATAATCATTTTTGATAACATTGGGTGTTTCCCAGCAAACATTTCATCAAAAAAAAGAGAAGTAAAAAAAATTGCAAGCTGTAATTCATCACAGCAGAAGTGAAAATCTAATCATGCATTGCATGCACAATATGCTTATTTGTGTATTTCATGCAGCGATAATTCTTTATATTTGAAAGCCGATAACCGATATATTGGATGATAAATCTAATTCCAAGTTTTTAAATAATTTTTAAGAGCCTGAGTCTTAGAAACAAAAGTCTCACCATTAAAGCCACATCTTTCTCATTAAAATTTTAAGTAGTCTTTATTTCAGACTCGCGCTGCACTTTACTAAAATCTCCTTTATGAAGTGATTCCAATCATAACTCAATTCAAACCCATCACGTTGAACAGTCACATCTGAAGAGTATCAGCTGAAGTAAATAATACATTATTTATCGGCTTTAAAGGGCATATTGCAGGTTAGAGGACCCAACGAGTCAATGCATAGAAAAACAATGTAGGAACTAGATTTTCTTTAAAATATACGTATAAACACGCTACAGAAGCTTCTGCAGTCGTTTTTGTGAGAAAATTTTACTTCCGCGTCTGAAAATGGGCGTGGCGGGCGTGACGCAATGAGCGGGAGAGCCGTCGATTCACACAACAGGAAAACAATGGATCGCATGACATTTCGCTGAGGAAATGCTCGTATGACGGATCAAGCCATAAAGTTATGAGCCTGCTATGCTAAAGAGATCAGGGACAGGCCAGGATAATGTCAGACAGAACGGTCAGAGAAAAATTGACCTGTGGTGTGAGGAGAAGCAGTGGAGAACAGGACAGGTGCCTTTTAGGTGAGAGACGTGCTTATAGGCTATACACGTTCGCTAACGATATACACTGTGCTCACAATACTGTACAGGTTATTATGATCCTATAACAGGCCAGCAGACATTACTATGTTTTTACTGTAGATTTATACTATTAAATGTATAAAAACTTTACTTGAGTATATTTCTATAGTAAAAGCATAGGCTATACTCAGGTAAATTTTTAATACATATTTTTCACCTAGGTTATAACATAAACAGAACATTAAAGAAGATTTGAGTATTTAAACAACCAATTTTGTTTTTCAATTACAAGTTCTATTTAGGGCATGACATGACTAAGTTACCTATATACTATTTGGTGCCATTGGTAGTATACGACGATCAATATTCTTGCTTCGGCATACCATGTTGAACTCCATCATATCGCCGGGATGCAAATCATTTGATCTGAAGTGAACGCTACGCACGACCGCGTTTTCCGAGCCGATGCAGAAGAGAAATCCCGTCTCTTCACCTTCTCAAACCGCACCAGGAACGAAAGATAGGCTATAGCACCGTCACTTTTATTGTAATGGAAACTTGTAGACTCGATCTTGAAGTCCTGACAGGCTGGATTTTTTGCAATCTCCACAAACACAATAATTTACCATGACGATGATAAATGCAAAAACTAACAAAAGCACACTGACTGACGACCGCTCTCACTGAACACCAGCCTGAGCCGAGGCTGCGGCTCCCTGATATGACGTCAAATGACGCGATGTTGAAAAAAAGCCGTTTTTACTAGCAAGTCCAAGAAACGCTCATTTTGTCTTCTAAATTAGTGCCCTTATGTTGTTTTAAAACATTTTAAATCCTGCATTAACTTTTCATATGGTATTTTTTATACAAGGTTATCTATAAATTTCGATTTTTTTTTTACCTGCAATATGCTCTTTAATACATCGGCCAAATTATATTATCGGTAACATTAAAAATGAACATATGACGGCCGATACCGATAAGGTATCATGCATCCCTAATTTCACACATACATAAAATCTGAGTACTGTGCGAAGGAATATGAACAGCAAGATCCTGCAACTCTATCTGGCATATGCAAATACACAAAAACCAAGAGGGTGTAAAATAAAGTGCCACATTTTTACTCCAATACATTAGAAATTATTATTGAGAATCAGACGTGGTCTGGAAACCACATGTAAATTTTCTCGTATTTGAGGCGTGGTTTACGAATGCCCAGAGCCATATTATTGGGTGCTACGGATGTCTATCAAATGCGCCTGTGCTCCCTCCCCGTTCTGTGATTGGTTCCCTATTTCAGGTGAAAATAGGGGATTATCACGCTTCCGGGTTTCATGGGCGGGACTTGTCAACTTTGTGCATGTCCACTTCCGACGCAGTTCAACAATGCCTGAGACGGAGGCTATTTATGTCACTGCTCTGTTCCAATTTGTAAATCTAACCAACAACGCTAAGCCTACGTAAGTTTTCATGGATTCCCGACTGAATTGAGTATAAGGAAGAACTGGATTAAAACTTTAAAATAAAACAAGGTAGCACGTTTGTTTGCAGCCGGCACTTTAGTCGATCAGACTAATTTACCAGGGATGCCGTATAAATAAACTTGGTGTAGTCATTCATCAGTTTGTCAGCGAGATCGATGATTCAACGGAAGCGGCAGTGCACAAAGATCACAGAATTCGGAAGTACTACGTATCAGCGTGATAATCCCCTATTTGGTTCATGGTATCCAGACTGCCTAGCAGCGCGAATAAAATCGCGCTACGGCAAGGCAGCATGGAGAAATCCAGGCCATTAGAATTGTCATTTAAAAAAAAAAGGTTAATTTAGCCTTAAAAAAAGTGCATGAAAATAGTATCCCTGCATGCATCGCGTCTCTAACGAGGGGCAACAGGCTTCTGCTGTAAGCTCGAGAGCTGAAACGGCATGATAGGCTTAAACAGAGGTGCATCTGGAGCAAGTGATGATGATGATGATGAAGATGACTCAGTAAAGACACCGAGTCTCATGACACAGGCAGATCACCTGGATTAAATAGCAGATGCAAAACAACTCCAACACAAGAGATACGGATCCTTCATCTTTCCTCCTTATTTTAGTTAAACCGTAATGCACAAAATGGCAAAAAAGTTCAATATGAACGCTAGTTTCAACTAAGGATGCACCGATATGAAAATCTTCATATTTGAAAGCCGATTATGATACATTGCCCAATAAATCTAAATCCAAACCCAAATTGTATTTAATTTTTGAGAGCCTGATTACAAAACTATTTAAAACCACGTCCCAAGCACACAATTATAACTGTTCGTGTTCGGTTTATAATTTTATGTAGCCGATATGACAGACATGTTGCACTTTACAGTATTTTCCTTTTTGAAGTGATTCCAATCCTATTTCAAGCAATTAAAACCCATCATGTTGAACAGTGCACATCTGAAGGATCTCAGCTTAAAGAAATAATAAATTGTCCATCAACTTTAATATACGATAGCATTAAAAATTGACATATTGGCCGATATATTGTGTATAGTTTTTCCACCCATTGTATTCCTCCAATGTGGCGCATTTGACTTGATTTGAATATCCTTTAGGAATTGAATGGATTGTGAAAAGTGGAAAAAAATTACATAGAGTTTGCTCAAATAATGCAATGTTTGTCAGTTGTTTAGCATTACTAAATAGTAATGCAATTTACTACATTTAGATTAGAGATTCCAATTAGTCAGTGAAGTATTGGAAAATAAGACCAATGGATCAATTATGGTCATGTTGATTTGTGTAATGGGGAGAAACAAAGTTGAGGTTTGGTAGGAGCCACAACACAACGCTAGTCAACAAACAAGCGCACAAAGCTTTATTGTAGCTCAGGATTATGCAACAACAATAAACATACATTGTCATCTTGCACTTTGATGGCAGATCTTTGGCCTGAGCTCACAGCTGGAGAATGAAAGCTGCATTTACAGAGAAAACATTCACAAAACACACAACAATCGCCTTTTCTTTTTAATAGACCCTATTGATCTCCTTACGAAATGTGCTCACAAATAAACTAGTAATTTACATGGCTTCCACATTGTCTTATACACAAACATGAATATAGACATTACTGATTGTATAAACTGAAGTTAGTGAGCCAGAAGACTAATGAAAAGCGAGACGTCAGATTTTTTTTCAAAAGCGCATGCATTCACTCTGTAAGCGAATAACACGAAAACACATGCACTTGCAAAATAACCTTTTAATAAAATTATGATACCGTACCGACATCCAATAATTATCATGCATGACACGACTGAGATCATAACTAAGCCTATTTGTCAGAGGTCAGCGAGTTCATTCTCACAGCGGCAACGACTGTTCGTTAGCAGTGCATTGAGTGAAATACGTGACTGGCTCTGAAAGTCCCATCCATCGTTTTGCTCTGACACGGTCAACATTTAGGCATAAACAAACGCACATGGGGATCAAACAAAAAGCCAGCAATACAATAAACAGACCCCGCGAGCGCACTTCAACTTAACAGCACGCGCGCGTCCTAGTATTCGCGTTCCGAGCTCGCGCAATACACACATAACGATATTTGACAAACAAACAGTCGAAATAAAGACCAGAATGCGTATCGTTTTAAAAACAAAGGTCGTGTTGTTTATCATGCAGGCTTGTTCACGGCAGACGCGGAAGGAAAATGCGTGTGGTTAAATCCCCACCACACAATGCCGTCTTGTCTTCCGCACTGGACTCGAGCCATTTAACGCTCATTCAGTAATAAACACACACTTGTTGGCGTCTCAAATACTCTCTCTAAAGAGTGGAATGCGATTATTAGTCGTTTGGTGTCGTTAGGGTGGTTTTGACAAACAGGCGCGGCGTAAGATAAGTGGATTGTTTTCGTTTTTTTCCGTTGAGGCCTAAACAGCGCGGAGCCTCGGGCCCTGGTGGGGCACAGCAACGGCCCGCGCTACACTGTCACACGGCTTCATTTCAAGCACTTACCGGGTCCGGGCGCTTCCATGGCCGAGGGATCTCTCTCCGTCTCTGTCCCGGCCTGGCGGCTCCGTACCGACACTGAAATTGGGGGCGGTATCGCGAAGCTGAAAGTGGCTAATTTAAGAAATGGAAGGATGTGTAGCGCTGTGCTTGCGTTGTCTTCTGAGTGATTTAAAGCAGATCCATGGGATTTGTAAGTGCGCATGCGCGAGGACGCGAAATTCGGTTGGTGGACGCGCACATTGACACTCAAAGGGAAAATGATAAAGGTTTGGACGGTGAGGCGCACGAATACTCATCAAGTCGCGTGTTTTATTACTTGATTTGATTTTAGGAACTCCGTGGATGGTTCAGTTGACCATCTAACGTAAATCCAATGAAAATCTGATACGCGCCCTTTAATTTCTGTTGTAAGTTACATTCTGCACTTAATTAATGTAAGGTTATTTTCTTTATTTGTTGTCTGATTAAATGCCTGCATCTGATACGTTTTATGATGGAAATATCTTTCCTGTCCCGCAATAATTTGCTGGAAGTGGAACTCTGTTGTTGTCCATTTACTGTCACCGTTGACCAATCCTAAGCGTTATTGGTGTTTCACTGCTGACAGTGCTGTCCAATCAGCACAGCCCATGAGCTCCCAACAACCCTTCGACCAATAGCGAGGCTCGAAGGGAATGACGGAGTCAGTTAAAGAAAAGCGCCCGAGCCTAGCGCGCGAAGACAAGGCTGAAGTTCTATTACTATCGGGCGGGAGTCGGATGTATACGTTTTGGCATTGTAAAAATAACATTTACAATTTAATTTTATGACGTTTTGAATATTAAGGCTGCATTTACTACGTCTGTACGTCTTTGGAGTGACTTCCTCGTGCGATTGATGTAATTTTGCACCGAATAAAGCTCAAGACTCGACCCGAAAGATGAGCTCTCTTCTCTGTGAGCGGGTAACGTTAACGTATCAGAGCGCAATGACATCAAATTACATCAAAATACATATTAATGACTACATTCGGTAAACAATTAAAAGTTGTGAAATAATTCACCCCATAAGTGATAGAAGTTTTGAATGAATCCATCAGGTTATTTGTGTTTAGCTAGCCAGGTTAGCTATTCATCCTGTTCTTTCTAACGTAAGGCCTGAGCTAAATTGTGCAATTTCTTATTTGCCTTTTAATGCGTGTTGTGAACAAATGTTAATTTTCGTTTTGATTATATTCTATATAGTGTTTACAGCAAAAGAACTTAGCAGTAAATGGTGTATGTAACTTAGATTTCTGCTCGTATTAGTTAACGTTAGCCAATGCGATGTTAACATTCTCTTGTGTTTTCAAAAGCGCGCGATTCATCAAATTGAATGTTATTGGTTTTATCTGCCCCGACACTGTCAAAATATTATAAACGTGACTGTTATATGTTGTAGGCTGTAGATCTGCCCGAAAGACGAACTGCTGAGAGTGAGAGGGATTCCGACAGTGGCATGGGTTCCCCGATGGAGCAGCCCGTAATTGACAACAACACTATCACCGAGAACCAACAAGGTAAGAGAGTTAAAGGGATAGTTCACCTAAAACTGTAAATTAACCCATGGTTTACTCCCCCTCAGTTATTATTAGTCAATATTATAATGGCAGTTTCTGTTTTGAAGTCCATAAACGTCCATATGTCTATCTCAAAGTGCTCCACAGGCTCTGAATCTATTGTTTATAAAAAAAAAAAAATGCATTATGTTCCAGATTCGGATGAAGACATCGCTGTGAGTCGCAAGGGCCGCTCTCGAAAGGCCCTGCAGGACAGCGACAGCGACGGGGATCTGGAAGAGGCTGGGATGGAGAACGCCCTGGTTCTGTCCGAGTCCAGCGATGAGCAGACCGAGACCATCACAGATAAGCGTCGGAAACGAGTATCCCGGATCTCAATAGATAGTGATGAGAGCGAGCCTGAGAGAGCGCAAGTTCAAATCAAACCAAAAGAAGCAAAGAAAAAGAGGGAGAAGTTAGAAAGATGCAAAGAGAAAGAGAAACGCAACATTGCTCTTGTTAAACGACTGAAAGAAAAGACAGAGGTGTGTGTTTGGATCATTTAACAACTGTGACTAATTAGTATACTTAATACTTAATGATTAAGTATACTAATTAGTATACTGATTAGTATAATGAAGTGTGTTAATGATTACTTAACTATTTTGAAACAACTAATTTTATACTAAGTATATTATAGTTGTAGTAAAGCATAACTTTAAAGGGACACCAGGCAGGAATGCTGTTTTTGTCAAACAGCGACTCCTAGAGTAACTGTGGAGTACTTGTTTTTAACGTTACTGTCGTAAATACCACTCACAGAGAGCGTGACGTGTTACATAGTATACAATAGTACATTATGTTTAAATTGTCGTTTAATAAGATCTAATATGTTGTTAGTGGTGAGAATTTTCACGTGATTAAATCAGAGCTGCCAACTTTTGAGTTTAGCTTGGCGTGAGACTTATCGGGGGGTGGGGGGTCATATTTATATAGCCGGTGCGCATAGGCTATATTTGCACTAAAGCCGCCTTGAAAAACGAAACCATGATATGGCTTTTTGCCTTCATAAAACAGCACAATACTTTAAAGGTCCTCTGACATGGGTTTTTTTTGTATTATTTTATAATGTTCCTGGGTAGGGCTGGGCGATATGGCCAAAAAATCATATCTCGATATTTTTTGGTCAAATGGCGATATACGATATATATCTCGGTACTTTCTACGTTTTCTATTTAGATAAAGAAAATCTTTATATTGAAAAAAAAAAAAAAAAAAATATATATATATATATATATATATTCACATTCGGCCCAATGATACCCTACAAACAATGTTGATATTGAAGGATATGGAAACAAATATAATATAGGCTATGCAATATATTATGTGCAAAAAGCTTTTGTTTTTATATTGACTAAAAGCTAAACTAAAAATGAAAATAAAAACAAAAACAAAAGCACAAACTAATTATATTAGCCTGCATTTGATTACCCCATTATAATCACTTTCACTTTCATTAAAAATATATACTTGTAGGTTTAAAATTCCACATATGGCACATTTATTTTCTCCAACAACAAATATTTTAGCAATATGTTTATTTTAGTCAGAATTATTGCGTACTACGTAGTACTATTCACGCGCATGCGCGCGCCGGCGCTCGTTCAAGGAAGCATGAATTTTAGCGGAGATTCACTTGCAGAAGCTCGTCCTCTTCTGACATGGACATATTTGTTGTGAAATGGACCTATTTGCTTTACTTTCTAACATTTACAGATGGAGAATATACATGTGAAATGTAAGTTGAGCACTGAGGAAAGCACCACATCTCAAACGCATTAAACAGCGCAAGTATATCTGTCAGTCAGCAACAGTGTCTGTCAGAGCATTTGACCGGGCGGCAAGCTGCCTTAAACTTGTTAACTATATCAAAGTGATTTTGACCCAATTAATATAAGCTTGTGTCATGTTTAGGACAAATTGTACTACGTAGCCTAGCTACTTTCACTGCAGCAGCTCACACTGCAAACTCCGCTATTTTTCAGATGTGCTCATATCAAACTACTGTATCGATATAAACGGTATTGCCTCATTCCATATCGTTTCAAAAAATATAACGATACATCGTACAAACTCGATATATCGCCCAGCCCTATTCCTGGGTTGCCCTTATAATGTTAGTATGTTTTTTAGATCAAAAATAGTCATAATTTAGAAATAAAAGGTATTTTTCCTAGCCTGATTTTAGCCTCTGCTTAGAATGGTCTGTTTGAAGGGGCGTGTCTGCTGTGGGATTCAATGTAACCGCCCACTGCTGTGATTGGCTGACATGCTTGCATATGAAATAGCTACATATTACATGTGAAACTCTCTTGAATACGTTTTACTACAGCTATTATACATTTTTACTATTACAGATATCGAGATTACTGATTCGTGAGAAGTTTTTGAAGTATTTAGATTCTCATCACATAAAATGTTGCTGAGATGAGCATTTAGCAGCAGATGACAGTCTGTCGATCGCGAGAATGAAGATCTTATCATTGTAATGCAGTTTCTGCACTCTCTGCTTTCACCAATGCAGACACAATGATGTACATACAGTAGGACCTTCGTTGTGCAGTGTAACGCAGTTTCTGTTCTCTCTAAAGTCTGGAACTCGTCCTCTCTCATCGAGGACTTGATCCCAATCTGGACTTTGGTCTGAAACTCGGCGTAACGTTATGCTCAACCTCACAGCCCTGAGAAATATTATAGATCTTTGAAAGCAGAGTTAGACAGGAGTCAAAGGGCTAACCAGCCTAACCTTTTAGTACTGTTCTGCAGTCGGGGTGATGGATTAGGGAGATCGTGCAGTCATCATCAGCTATCCCTTGGAAGTTATGAAGAAAAGAAAAACGTTCATTTTGTTTTTATCTGTGATTTAATAAAAAATAACGTGATCAGATCACATTTGATGAATGTTTTTTCGATTTAGTTTAGCGATGTGAAGATGACGCAATCTAAAACACATGGCAAAAAAGCATAGACCAGACTAGAACCGGAAGTTGACAACTGGAGTCGTTGTCATGGCGGCGCCCATTGTTTAGAGCAGTATAAGGTGGATGGAAGGATCATAAAAATGCTGGTACAGATCGTACCAGTTCGGCCAAATTCGGCTCGTAGTCGTCCATCTTCGGATGCAGCGCGCAAAGTTACAAAAAGTACCGTGCACACCGCCAGGCGCAATGGGGTCTTGCGGACCCTACGCGCACGACCGCCCACACCGCAATGACGCCATTTTTGCCGCGCGCTCTTGCGGATGCGTCGAGTATAAACAAGGCTTTAGAGTGCAGAGAGGAATTGGCTTTGACTACAGTCCTGGTTTTGCGTCCGTGCCGTTAGGAGCTCAACATCTGTCTGGCATGCATGATGGCTCTACACTAGATTAGAGGATATTTTAACTAATTTGTGGTAAAACTAGTCGATCACTAGTGGCTCAACTGGTAGATTTATAGATAAACTTATCTTTCAGATATTTTGCCGACTGGCTTGACACTTTAGCGTGAGAAATCGGGGGTGTGGCGTGAAAGCGTGAGAATTGACTTAATTGCGTGAGTCTCATGCTCAATGCGTGAGAGTTGGCAGCCCTGAATTAAATACATATCCCCATGAACTATTATGGTACTTTTGCCATGTGTGTCACAGGTTCTGGGTTCTTCTAATCCCTACTAATAGTATAGTTTATTTTCCTCATCAAAACTGATTGTTTATTAGTGGCTGTATTTCAAGCAGGGACATGTTTTTTGTGCATTGGGTTTTGTGATTTCACCGTAATGAGTCTCTCAGTCCCCGCAACGGATTGAGCGTGCGTTCGTTTGAAGACAGTGCACTTCACAACCGAACACTGAATCCACTGAAACTGATCGCAGCGGCAACGAGCGCTTTGGTCACTTCATTTCAAAAACAACACATTTCAGATCGCCTCTTATTTAACAAACGAACTAAATGAATGCTCTACTAGAGTTACCTGGAGATGTTTTATTTGTTTGTAATGGTACATCCGTGCTGCGAGATGTTTCAATATCACACCCGCAAATTACGCCTATGCTCGTGTCTGACTCCTCGCTCAGTCTGCGGTTTCCTCTTTCTCTGTTCCTCGGACAATGCTTTCCTAGCTTTCTGACAGCCATGAAGATAGTGTGACAAACTCCATCCCTCTCGACCTTGTTCCTGCATATGTGCAGTGTTGCCGTCAAGGAATATGTTACATCGCGAGAGCTGATATCACGCGATGCTTCCTGATGCTGAGGCCGGTGGCTCGCCGCACCGAAGCCGCAAGTGAGGTTTTTCCGCTCACAGGCACCAGGGGGGGTCGAGACGCCCACCATTCAACCTGAAAGAAGTCATATAACCAATTCAATAACTCTGAAGCTGTTAAATTAAGCTAAAATAACTGCATAGTGTCCCTTTAAGTGTATTTAGTGTACTTCTGTGTGCTAAATTGGAACCACTTGAAGTATGCTTTAAGTATCCCTGTGTCGGGACTAATTATTTGATTGATTGGTGATATTAAAGTGTACTTTAATTTCTGTTACAAGTACATTATAAATTCATTACGAGTGTCTTCAAAGCATTCATATATCATAAGTGTATTATATTTGAGTAAAAAGTAAATGCTCAGTAATGCCTTTGGCTTATTTTTCAAACACTAAAAATTGCACACTTTGTCTTCAATAACAAATACACATTAATAAACCAATATTACTTGGCTATACTTTGCATAATATACTATTGTATACTAAAATGTAATTTGAAAGATTCACTTTCAATGCATTGTTACAATGATCATTTCCAGCACACAGTTAAAAAAAAAAATATATATATATATATATATATATAAAATATGTAATTTTTTTTTTTTTTTTGCAAAATATACTAATGTACAATTATTGTGTGGTATTAAAAGTAATAGCACATTTTGTTTTAGTAAATGTACTTTTGAAAAAGGGAATATATTTCAAATACAATATTTTTTTTTTTTTTTTTTTCAATTCCCTATTTTAAGGAGGCCCTTCCAACCAAAGCACTGAATGACAGCGGCTGTTTGCTTGGAGACTCTGATCTGTTTGACGCCCAGTTAGAGGAAGACTCTGAAGAGGAAGAGGAAGAGTCTCTTGATGCCATCCGGTCTGCCATGAAAAAGAAAGCCAAGCACAAAGTAAGCACAGAATTCAGGTTTCCGTGTTAAAAACGTCTACGCAAATCTGAATTGCTTAGTAATGGCTGCTTTTTTGTTATTACTTGTCTATAGCCTCGTATGTGTGAGTTCAGTGGCGATGAGGAGCAAGAGAACAAGCCTCAGCGAAAGGTTGGAGTGCTAAATGTCATACGGTCTTGTTGATTTTGTTCATTGTAGGGGTGTAACGAGACCCTCATGTGACGAGCCGATACTACACTCACTAGACAATAGTACTGCGATACCCCAAGACATATGGTAAAAGGTTAACAAAAATGTACTGTTGATTAAAATGCTTAATTTGGTTTTACATTGTGTGTGTAAATGAATAGACTTGGTGCAGAAAACTCAAAACACAGGACAATAGAGACACCAGAATAAACATATTCATGATTCTGAAGCTGAAAATACAGAATTATACAGACGAATATGCTTGATCTGTCGCTGACTAGATATATTTAAAATAATGTAGGCCCCTTTTTACTGGTAACAAGACTTTTGGCATAATCAGGACCCACAAATATCCCCCATTGCATTATTATACATTATATATAGTAGTTTAATATAGTACTGACACTAAAACTTTTATTTTGGGTGAACTGTCACTATCCACAGTGTATTTGTTGTCACTATCCACAATACATATTGTTTCATTTTGGTGTTCCAATACATTGTGACTAGGGCTGTCAGTTAAACGCATTATTAACGGCATTTACGCAAACCCATTTTAACGGTGTTAATTTTTTTATCGCACGATTAATGGTCTTTTTGTCCAAGCAAACTTTGTAGGTTCTTTTTTTCACATGCTTATGCAACAGGATGCGGCGCTGCGCTCTGAAACCCATTCATTGCTTCGTCAACATCAAAACATAAGCTGATCTAGCTTAGACCGGAAACAAAACAACATGCACGCTGCACACACTCGTTTGGGCCTGCGAGCCGCCAAATAGTAAGTTAACGTTACGTTTTGAGTGGATGGCAAGCGCGAGACGGCAAAATAGATGCCAATAATTCTGAACGGAAATTTTACTTTTAAAAGTACTGTTGCCAAATTCCATCGATAAGACCAAAGTGATCTGTGTGTTTTGTTGTTGTGAACTGAGCTATCATCATCACAGCACGTCCAGTCTGAAATACCACTTGATGATGGCCACACACACACACACAGCTTTTGCGGCTTCTCCGCCCCCTCGTCAATATCAGGACCTCGTCAGTATTTCCTTCACCCTTTTATTGATGGACAGTGTTACATTGTGTGAGAGATTATTTGCTCCAAGTGAGAATGTTAGTGTGAAATCACAGTATATGCCAACGTTGTTTACAAAAAAAAAAAACATTTGCACAAAGCAAGCCGATCCACATTTCCATGTTGATAAGCAATTCCTTGTTAAATTGAGAAAAAAATAATGGGACAAAAAGATATCAAGAGACATTTTGAACAGATTAAAATGTGCGATTAACTATGAAATTAATGCAATTAATCGCGATTACATATTTGAATCGTTTGACAGCACTAATTGTGACACGATATATTAGATAATATATTAGATCAGCCCTTAGATAATTGTGTTTTTACTGAACAAATTGTGTTTTCAGGAGAGGAAAGCGGCGAGAGCCAGCAAGGAGGCACTCAAGCAGCTTCACAGTGAGAGTCAGAGACTGGTCCGAGGTCAGTCTAAAAGACACAATTACATGCAAAGCCTGGACATGGTTTCCACAAAAATATGAAGCATAATGTTTTCAATCAAAATCGTCATATTAGATTGCTTTCTGAAGGATCATGTGAGACTGAAGACTGGAGTAATGATGCTGAAAATTCAGCTTTACAGGAATAAATTACACTTTGCTATATTGAAAACAGCTTTTTTAATTTGTAATAATAATTCACAATTTTTACAGTAGTTTTGATCAAATATATGCAGCCTTGGTGAGCAAAAAAATATTTCATACTTATAAATGGAGGTGTAGATGGGGGGGGAAATATCATTATCTAATAATAAAGTTAATTCCTTACTTTTATTTCTATTTATATTTGCAGAGTCCATGCTGAATCTGCCATATCACATGCCAGAACCCAAAAGTATTGACCAGTTCTTCAAGAGAAGACCTCGCCCTGAGGGTCCTGCCATGGCTCTGCTCAAGTATGAGATTAAAGTCTTATCAGTTCTGTCACTAATGAACTCATTTATCTCATGTAGGCATTCATACGCTTGTGTCGCCTTCGGTTCACTTTTGGCTTGCTTAGTTTTCACTTAAAGGGATACTCCACTTTTTTTGGAAATAGGCTCATTTTACAACTCCCCCAGAGTTAAACTTCTTCTCATGTGTCGTTCACAGTATAATGTTCTTTCCTTGCCATTAACGCGTGGATAACACACGTTTCCCACGTCTCCTTCCATTAATAATAATGTGTAGTACGGTTCTGATGTATATAAACCTACCTACGTTCGTTGCCATGATTTTTTTTGATGACTGATCACTAGAGGAAAAAAAATGACGTTTTAGTCGCACAACATCAGTTAATGGAAACATTGCCGTCATTTCGAAATAGTTTTTATCAATATTTAGAAAAAATCGCAAAGGTTTTATGCAAATCTGTATAAATAAAGGAGACATGACTTGATGTAATGGTAGAAATAATCAGTATAATTTCTTTCTCACCCATCCTCAAGGTCTGCCAAGTACCAGGCTTGTATTTTAGAGACTAACGCACATCTACCCCCAGAACAAACCACAAAACCTCAGCAGGACTTAAACCCTCCAACAGAGTCGTCTCTGGATAACCATTCGTCCACAGCATCTGTGTCTCTGGAAGACATGAACTCCAGTCCTGCTAATGATGGAACAGCACAGGCCTCCAGCGAAGCACGAGGCGATCATGAAATACACACTGATGAACTCAACCCTGTGCGTCACGAGAAAGACGCTGACATTGAGCCAGAAGGCGAGGGAGTTAAACATTCAGACGAGGACCGAGAAAAGCAACCGGCTCAGACACCTTCTCATGTTCTCAGACCTCGAAGGGATAAACTAGCCAGACTCCGAGAGCTAGGCCTGGACCCGCCCCCGGTGGCGAAGCTGTGTGCAGACGAGGGGGCTTTCGTGCAGCTGGAGCCGCCACAGGAAAACACAGGTTAGATTTTGGATATGAAAATTGTGCTTTACTTAAGGTACTTGAATTTGTAAGTCTTGGAATCCCCTTCTGGGTATCCGCGGGGTCTTGAAAAGTATTAAAGGTGCCCTATACTGTGAAATTGAATTTATGTTGGCATAGTTAAATAACAAGAGTTCAGTACATGGACATGGCATACAGTGAGTCTCAAACATCATTGTTTTCTCCTTCTTACTTAAATCTCGTTTTTGAAAAACACCCCTGAAAAACAGGCGAATCTCCACATAATACCGACTATGACGTAAAAGTCGGGATCATTAATATGTATGACCCAAAATATTTGCATAATGCCAGCCCATGTTCAGTGACAGACGAGACGGAGCTGCGCAGTCCAAGCATGGCAGTTGATCAGTGTTCGGATCTACACACGAATACAAAAGTATATTTTAGTTCCTTCGTCCGAGCCTCTGAAGAAACAATGGATTCATTTTATTTTCTCTGGAAATTTTAAACCGTTTCACCGACGACTTGTTTCCTCAACTTGCCAAGTGCTAGCTTCAGGTCGAGCTGATGTGTTGTTGTTCAAGTTCAGACAGGTAATCTTTCACTTTAAAATCGTATCAGTAAGTCTGGCCAGTGATTTAAAAATCAACTTCACATCGTTTATTTTAGTAGGATGAAAAAAAATCTTATTTAAATTGTGAATTATATACAGAAAGAAAGCGATCAAAGAACAATCACAGCGCGAGTTTATCTGGACACTTGCCAAACTCGTTATGAATTCAATGACGCACGTTACTCTGCACAACTAAGCTCTAACGTTAACTGTATTTACATCATCGTGTCTGCTGCATTAGAGAGTAACGTTAGAGAGACTGCATTGCAATGATAAGATCTTCATTCTCACGATCGACACACTCACTGTCCTTTGCTTGCTCAATCACAGCAACACTTTATGTGATGGGAATAGATCTAAATACTTCAAAAACATCTCACGATTCGTTAATCTCGATAGCTGTAATAGTAAACCTATAATAGCTGTAGTAAAATTATTCGAGAGAGTTTCACATGTCATACATAGCTATTTCATATGCAAGCAGCCAATCACAGCAGAGGCCGGTTACACACAGCAGACATGCCCCTTCAAACAGAGTGTTCAAAGCAGAGGCTAAAATCAGGCTAGGAAAAATACCTTTTATTTCTAAATTTTGATTATTTTTGATCTAAAAAACATACTAACATAACGGCAACCCAGGAAACATTATAAAATAATTAAAAAAAAACAGTATAGGGCACCTTTAAAAGGTGATAAACCAATTTTGGGAAAATTAAGACCCTTAAAGTATTAAAAAATCTTATCACGACTTTATAAAGTCTTAAATTTTGAAAGTATTTTTTCTAGGGATGTAATGATTCACTCGCAACCGGTTGAAAATCGAAAAAAAAAGTGTGACTATTCAAGTCGGTTGAAATGTTAAACGAATCGCGATACAGGTTTTAAACGGCAGGAGCGTTTACTGAATAGCCTACTGTGAAGTTGTGAACCTCGCTGTACAGGCACAATAGCAGCAAGCACACACTGGCGCCGCGCGAACCTAGCGAGTGTTTTCACTTCATTCGGAAGGAACTTGAGAAAGGAACTTACATAACTGAAAACGCTTGGTTTGCTCCGCTCGCGCCGTGCCAGTGTGTGCCATAGACTGTGTGCACGCGCTGTCAAACACATGGCGACGGCCAGCGTAGATGTTGACTCATTCAAATCGGTGCTGTGGCGCCATTTTGACTCTTTGTAGACTAATAATAATCACCACCGTGAGAAGCAGATGACCTCTGTTTTCACGTAAAAGTCATTAATGCGACAAGTATGAGAGCTACGGAGATCACAAGGTGCGTCAGTGTTTCCATGGCAACCATGTGTCGTATTTATTTTACTCTCTTTCTCTCAATGTGTACATGGATTTATTTAGTTTTTAAATAATTTGATTTTAATAATCATTTTTTATCACTCTTTCTAGTTTAATGATACTAATTATCTCCTGTCAATGTGGTACACATTTTACAGCCTTTTGCTTAGTGTGCTAAGGTACCAGTGTCCTGCCTCTTGACCAGACAGAAACACTGAGTTGAAACAACCTTTAAGGGAATTTTGTTTTTCAATGTAGTTCTATTATTTGACAAATGTATTTCAAAATGAAAAATAAATGTGCAACATTTTGTTTAAGAAATAATAAAAGAGACACTTTTTCATTTATAATTTGTCTTAAATCTCATTTGTAAAAAAAAAAAAAAATCGTGAGAAATTCATATCATATAACCGATATCGTGAATCGTATCGCATCGTAAGTTGAGTAAATTAGCTGTCCAACAGTTTGAGTCCCAAAAACATCTTAAAAGTGTGTAAATTTAGTCATTTTTGTTAAAAAACAAACCGGTACATAAACTAGGATATTGTGGGTGTGTTCGTAAATTGCCTCTGAGAGCACCAGAGCGGGCAGATGGGCGGAAGTTGAAAAGCACAATGTACGCTCAGGCGTTCCCAGTGCCTATTACAACGCACCAAAATGTTTTAAGAGAAGGTTGGTGAACGCATGAACAGAATGGGGAAGTTTTTTAAAGGGTTAGTTCACGCAAAAATGAAAATTCTGTCAGTATTTACTCACCCTCATGATGTTCCAAACCTCTATGTGTTTATTTGTTCTGCTGAACACAAAGGAAGATATTTGGAAGAATGTTTTAATCAAACAGATAGATCTGTTTGATTAAAACATTTTTCCAAATATCTTCCTTTGTGTTCAGCAGAACAAATAAACACATAGGGCCATCCTTAAAAATATTTTGGTTTGCAGTAACAGCAATTTTTTTTTTTTAAAGGGTCGGTAGGTAGGTCTATATTTTTTTTTTTCCCAAGATTTAGTGTAAAAAAAAAGGTACAATTTTGGAGACGGTGATCGTGAATTTAAAAAAAAAATGCATATTGTGACGTCACTGACTGGGTCTTCAAACTGTGCATCCACCGCTAGGTGTTAATGCAAAATACGACCAGTTACATTTTAGGCTAGTCACAAAATGTATAAAATATCTATTTGTTATGCATATATACATGAGATAAGCAAAAACAAGTACAAACACATGGTCAAACAAAGAATACAATTAAACAAAGATACAATTTAGCCTATATACACAGTGCTTTAATTTCAGGAAGGTCTAAAATTAGCTACTTTTCAGTTAAGTCTGTCGCTCTCTCTGAAAAGAAATTTAATTTAGCTAGTAATCAAATGTAAAATGACACTGCATAGTTTATCATAGTTAGATTAATGCTTATTAAAGTTTAAGTTATTCATTCAAGAGCTGTGAGTGATTTGTATCTGCCTTTTGTTGTTTGATTCGCATTGGCTCAATCGTCACGTTTATTAGACTACTGCCCCTTTAAGACCGAATGCAGAACTCTACTGTAATAGATGAACGATGCACCATCATTTTCTCCCAACTTACGTCCAATTAAGACATAAACTGTGTTTAAATGAATCTCAGAGCAGGTCATTTTATATTTTATGTATATTTGATGGTTTAGATGCGCAGATGAAGCCCAAAATGAGGCGATAGCCTACTTTTCTTGTCTCGTTTTAGTGCATTTCGGAGCGCGCGTCGTGAACAACGTCTCTTGCGCAGACTTTTGTGCTTTTAATAGCTCTTTTAATGATTGAACGCGTCCGCAGTTTAGCAACAGTACAGACTGCATTTTACAAAAATCACCGATCGTGCTGATTTTGACGGTACGTTTGGGTTTTAGGAAGAAATGACAGCGCAACGCTGTGAAGGGAAGGAAGTTGCGCTAGACAGAATGCGTCTGTAATGGGTTCATCTCAAATATCTTCTTTTTATAATCTTTGAAAGCGGAAATCTAAAATACAATTAGAATAATATCCCAGATCTAAAGTGTTCCACGTTTTGTCCTCATTGTCACTCATTAAGCAGGGCTGTCGTGCTGTGCGCGCTGTGGCTCCGGGTGAGAGATCTTCTGGACTGCGAATAGCAAAATTGCATCACAGACAAATTGTTTAATGTTTTTATTATATATAGAAATGGTTGATATTCAGCCCTGTTGCCCTTTTAATACCGGGTACCAAGCGGGAACACTGAAACGAGCGAACGTACAAGCCATATAGTGACACGCGTAACGTAAAACCAATGGTGTAAACATAATCTGATGACTATGACGCCACGAGTTTTTATTTAAGAAAGAACGTAGCCTACGTTTGTTGTAGGCTATGTAGACACAAGCAACTTTCACAATACTAACTAAAATATAATTAATATTATTTTATTGAATTTGAATTAGTCGTTTGAAGAGTAAAAAAAAAAAAATCTGTCGGTCTAAACGCAGGTTACAACCGGCAAGTCGGTCGGACTAAAAGGAAAAAAAAATAAAAATTGGGTCGGCCCTAAATTGACAGGGTCGGTCGGGTTACGGCAAACAAGAATATTTTTAAGGGTGGCCTAGAGGTTTGGAACAACATGAGGGTGAGTAAATACTGACAGAATTTTCATTTTTGGGTGAGCTAACCCTTTAATAAACTTTGCTTTGATTTACTATCCCAGCCTATTTGATTTTTTTTGTATCAGAGTGGTCTATAGTCTTTATCACAATCAAAAACTGTTAAGTTAAAAGTATCACTGATGTAAATGGTTACAGCTTGAAGTGGCGGTGAGGTATTAAAAAATATTGAGATGGTCTTGAAAAAGTCTTGAAAAGGTATTAAAATTAACTTCAAGATTCCTGCATATACCCTGCCCTTGAAAACAGTCATATTTATTTAAAGGTACTTGAATTATTTAAAGATAATATACTTTTTTATTTTATTGAATAAATAAAATTCAAATTAAATTGATTTGTGTGTGTGTGTGTGTGTGTGAGACAGCTCTGAAAGCACTACAGGAACGCTTCATGAAGCACGTCCAGCCTGCTCCTCGGCCTAAATGTGAGCGCACCTTGCAGCTGAAAGTTGTGCGGAAAGACAGCGCCCCCTCAGGACAGGAGGAACTGCTCTCTGAGTCGATCACGATCACTGTCAACGAGGGGGAGGACAAGCCTGCTAAAGTCAAACCAGGTACAGGCACATAATTTTACTCGCATTTGCCACTAAAAATAGGTGTGTGTGAACTGAACTGTGTTTTGGGTTAAAAAGTAGGTCCATACCTTTTTTAATAAAGTCAGTTTTGTCAAATATAAATATCTAATTAAAGAGTCTTCATTTTGTCTTAAATTTGAGTCTGTAAAACATGAATATGGCTTAACCTTCAGAGACCGACGGCATCGTCGACGACACCACACGGCACCTCCGATAAATATTTATATTATTCGATGATAGATTTATTGATTTTCTTACCGTTTTTTCCAGCAGAAAGCAAACGAGATAGCCATCATGGGGGTGTCTTTCTAGCCTTTACAGAAGGTTTTCTATCCAGCCTGGAACTTGTGCATCCTTTTGGAGTTTTTCAGCAATAAATCCAAACGCTTAAAGGGATACTCCACTTTTTTTGGAAATAGGCTCATTTTACCACTCCCCCAGATTTAAACAGTTGAGTTTTACCGTTTTCAAATCCATTCAGATGATTTTCTGATATTTAGAAGAATATCAGTAACCAGACAGTTTCTGTTCTCCTTGACTTCCATAGTAGGAAAAAAATATACTATGGAAGTCAATGAGACCAGAAACTGTCTGGTTACTGATATTCTTCTAAATATCAAAAAATCGGCTGAATACATTTGAAAACGGTGAAACCCAACTGTTTAAAGAGCCCCTATCATAGCATTTGAAATGTTCCTATTTTTGTTTTAGGAGTTCCCAAAACAGTTTAACATGCATGCAAGCATAAAAACGAATCGGTTGCCTAACGTAACCTCGGTTCTCTCTAGATGAGGGAACGAGTATTGTGTAAGCTAGCTTACGCTATGTGAAAGATTCATATTTGCTGAGAAGTTGAAGCCAGGGAGGTTCAGAGGGAAATGCACGAGCCTATGGGAGAGCGGCGCTGAACCCGCGCCTAATGAGCGGCAGGCGCTCGCTCATTACGTCAGAGCCCGCCGAAAGGGGCGTGGCTATAGTGTATAAAAAGGCTCTCCCAAGGCTGTACGTTGATTTCTTTCAGCGTGAAGCTAAACGCTAGTGGCGCAAGCACGGCCGGGAACGCAATACTCGTTCCCTAATCTAGAGAGAACCGAGGTTACGTTAGGTAACCGATTCGTTCTCTTACGAGAGGTTCTCTCGTATTGCGTAAGCTAGCTTACGCTACGGGAACACCTGGTCAACACCGTGCGCGCTATGGAACCACTAAGCATCCCAGGGGTGAAAAACCGGGGGAATACTTAAGATGGACTGAGAAAAAAATAATGCGGCTAGCATAACGACCGTTATAGTCTAATGCATACGCCCATAAGGCGGCCGGCATAGCGGGCCGTTATCGTATAATGCATAAGCACATAGGGGAACACAAGGGGCGAACCGGTTGTGATAGAACTCCCAATAGTGCAGCTTCTTATAGGAGAGCTGTATCGTACTAGACCGCCAGTAATTTCGCCTGTAAGGCGGGGACTTCCAAGTTATAAAATCTGACAAAAGTGGACGGGGAGGCCCATCCCGCGGCCACACAAATGTCGTAAATGGAAATTCCACAGGACCATGCCCACGATGAGGCCATGCCTCTAGTGGAATGAGCCCTGATGCCCAGCACAGGGTCGGCGCTATGGTGGGGAATTCGAGGGCCGTGCCCCCCCCCTAGCACTCATTGATGCCCCTCCTACCACAGTTTCTAATACAATGCTAAATCATAAATACCAAATGTCCAGCAATCTATTTGAATAGTACATTGTGTTTAATTTGTTATCTAATTGGATCTAATATGTGTTGGTGCCAAGAATTTTCACATGAAGAAATATATCTATCCAATTCGACTTTTCATCGTAAGTGCTGTTGGACCAGCGGCAGAACTTTAGACTGGCGTGCAAGAGATTCTGGGTTCGAATCCACACTCGTGTAGCTATTTTTTTTCCCCTATCATTATAACCGATTATGTTTATCAGTGGTTGTCAAGCAGGGACATGTTTGAGTGCATTCTACTTTGTGATTTCACCGGTACGAATAGAGATTTCGCCGCAACAGATCAAGCACGCGTCCGTGTGAAGATGTTTATTGTGGCAGCGCGAGCCACAAGAGCACACTTTATCAGCACCACAGATCGCGTCAACGAGCACTTTGAGCACTTGATTTAAAAAACAACACATTTCAGCGTGCTATATCGCCTCTTATTTAACAAATGAATGCTCTGCTAGGTAACCGGAAATTTATTTCTATTGGTTACATCTGTGCCGCGAGATGTATAAAAGTGCTGGGACAAAAAGTGGTGGGGAAATTCACAAATAATAATTATAAATAATAATTATAATAATAATAAAAGGTGGTTTTTTTTTTTTTTTGCTTAAATATTTCTTAAACGGCAGTGCCCCCCCCGCTGATGACCCAATGCCCCTCCAGTAGATCTGCTCTGGCACCAACTCTGGGGCAAGGCAGGTCTTTAGAGGCGTAAGCAGAGGCGATAGAGTCCACTATCCATCTAGACGGTGTCTGTTTTGTGGCGGCCAAACCCTTGGTGCGGCCACCGAACGACAGAAACAGCTGCTCCGAGCGTCTGAACGCAGCAGCGCGTGTAGTGTACAATCTCAGAGCCCGGACCGGGCAGAGGAGATTGGCATCACGTTCGCTATCGGATGCAGGCATAGCCGATAGAGAAATCACTTGCGCCCTGAAAGGGGTACCAATCGCTTTTGGAACATAACCATGTCTAGGTTTGAGAATGACAACTGAGTCATTAGGTCCAAACTCAAGACACGTGGCGCTCGAAGAAAGCGCGTGAATGTCCCCCACGCATTTTACTGAGGCGAGTGCAATCAGAAAAACGGTTTTTAGCGAGAGATATTTTAGATTCACGGACTCGAGTGGCTCGAACGGAGGGGCTTTCAACGCTTCGAGAACTGTAGAAAGATCCCAGACCGGAACCGAAGGAGGGCGAGGGGGATTCAACGGTCTCCTCATGAGCGTTTTGTTCAAAAGCCTGAGATCTAAGATCGGCCTGAGGCCGCTGTCTTTCTTGGGCACAAGGCTGGGCGCCGAACTGTAAGGGGGGTGGCCTACGAACTCCTGAGTGAGTCTTGAAGCCGACTTCTGCTGATGAAATGGCAAACTATGTTCAGTAAAACTTTCTTTAATTTTTTATAATTCTGAGTTCGGGTCTTCATTCTTCATATCTGGTTCTGGGTCCTTAACTGTTAATCCCTAACAGTTTGGTTAGAAAATAACGGCCGTAAAACCCTGACGGTCATAGATGGCGGAACTCTCTCTATTGCGCCTTTCTGCAGCATCTTCGCTATTTCTGAGCGGAGCGTGCTAAGAGCTGCTGGGCTGACAGCGGATTTGAGCCGAACGCGGGAACGGGGCGGGCGGCGATTAAACTGTAATAGGTAGTCGTTCTTTATAATGCTTAGAACCCAAGGGGAAATGCCGGGGATGGCCTCCCACGCTTTGAAGCATGCGGCTAGCGGCTGGATAGCAATGTTGTCCTGATTGCTGCACATAGCGGGCTGAAAACTGTGTGTGGGCACACTTGTGTGTGTGGCAACGGGAATTACACTCAGAGAGGAGTTTATGGGCTGTGAGACAGAGCGAGCAGAGAGGGGACACGCGCATGGGCTCGTGGGCGTGCTTATGTTTTCTGCTACTAGAGCGGGCTGTGGCACATTTTTTACACCTGAGGCTTTTATGCTCTTTTTTGTGAACTCTCTGGGTAGCCGTAAAAACGGATTTTTGTCGCTCGCAAGCGGGCAGGGAGACCGGCTTGTTTGTGGCAGTGAGCACTACTGCAGTGGGCGAGGTGTCGGGGACTAGAAGAGGACGAAGCTTTGACGGCGGTCTGGCCGCAGCGGGAGAAGGCCGCCTTTTTCTCAGCTGTGCTAGGCAGATTTTTGCTGATCAGGCTTCAGCGTGATCTTGGGTCGAGGCCCCCGGGGAGGCGGCTGTCTGCGTCGGCTGTCAGAGCGAGAGCGAGGGCGGCCGCCCTGTCTACGCTGGGGTTGATTAGCCTGCTGAGGCGGGCGCTGTTGCGGGGTTCTGGCAGGAGGCTCGCGAGAACGGCCTGCAGAAGTGCTGGCGTGGCAGGGCAGGAACAAGTTCATGGCCTGGGTGGCTTTCTGTACCTCGGAGAAACAGTCAACGATACCCGCATGTAAAACGCATGCAGTGAAATTTGAAATACTCCTCCTAGAGCTCTGATCAAAATTCGATGAAACTCGTCAGCATGAAGTCAAGACATTGAGGATGAAAGTTTGCGAGGGGATTTTTGATATCTCAAACGGTTTGGCCATGGCGAGGAAACGAAATTATGGCGAGAAACGTGAAACAGGAAGTGTGTTATAACTTCAGCATACATTAACTGATCTTGATGAAACTTCAGCAGTTTGTTCGCTGTAAGAGGACGATCCCATGGATGTGATTATTGTGAGTCAAAGTTATAGCGCCACTGACAGCAGGAAGTGTGTCCCTTTTAAAATGCTTTGAAATCACCCTCTTATTTTTACCCGATTTGCTTCAACCTTCATCTGTATAATGTAAATACAAAGCAGATGAAGGCCTGTGAATGGATTCTTGATATCTTTGAAACTGTTGCCATGGCAACGCTTCAAACTTTGAAATTATTTTAGGATGCTTTTGAGACTCTTAGCATGCTTGAAATTGCATGAAACTCAACAGACACATCACATTTATTAGCCAGTAGACATGTGCAAAGTTTCAGAAACGGGCATGGTGCAAGGACTAAATAGCGCCACCTTTTGACAAAAGTGGGGTTGTTAGTTTTATCTGCAGTTACAAAAATCGGTTTATACATTGTACTCCTCAAGCCGGACAACTTTCTAATACATAGTCATAAGCTCGGACCAAGAGGAAGTCAGATATTTTGGTTTGAATATGGTGAACCTCTCTCTAAGCCTACGTCCCTGTATGGCAAGCCCTTTTAACATTTTAAAAGCTAAGTTTGCCTATCCGGAATTAACATTGTAGATATCAACAACGTCTTTCTGTCTAGTCGTAATTACATTTTGGATAGTTTGTATTATCATTTAAGATATCTGTAACATAATTGTGACTAGTCGAAATGACAGAGTACGGCAAAGAAAACAAAAAAAAACAATATTTTTTTATTGGTATTTTATTGCAAAAAAATTAATCTGGCATTTAATTCAATGTTTAGAATACACATAATTATTAAATAAAATCAGTTTGGTATTCAACTAAATTCAATCTTTGGCTGGAAGTGTCTCCTAGTCTCTCTTTATTAAGGGGACAATGGTTTGATTTGCAGGTATAGAGGTATCTGTTGTAATGTCTGTCTTTTGCTCCTTGTTTGCATGTTTTAGGTGAGAAACTGGTGTTGTTGAAGTCTCGCTTGCAAGAAGCCATGGCCATTCGCAGAAAGGAGGAGAGGGAGCGCAGAGCGGCTTTGCATCGTCTTGATAATGAGGATTGTGGCGACGAGGAGGAGGAGGAGGAGATGACTGAGTCAGAGGATGAAGAGGTACTAGAAATACATCAATATATTTCAGCGTTTCCCCTACCATTGATAAAGAATAACAAAATATATAAATGTTAATAATATTATTATACTTGATCTGCAGATAAAGCTCTGGTTTCGCATAAATTGACTATCTTGCTGTAGTACCTCAATTATGTTCCTTCACCACATACAGTCGTGCTCAGAATTAATGGAACCCCTGGTAAATATGATAAACTGGCTGTAAAAAATAATTCTTCATTGTTTATCCTTTTGATCTTCCATTCAAAAAAATTGGCAAAATTTCATTGAAGCAAAAGAATTGAAAGTGGGGGTAAATCACACTATGAAAAATGTTTTTCTCCAAAACACTCTGGCCATAATTGTTGGCACCCTGTTATTAAAAACTTTTTGCAACCTCAGATCTGTAAACTTTTGCCAAGATAACAGATGGCAGAAGCTTCATTTTGTGCTCCGTAACTAATTTTTGTGTTGATTTTTGTTTTGGATCGTTGTCCTGATGGAAGATCCAACCACGGCCCATTATAAGATTTCTAGCAGAAGGCGTAAGATTTTTATTTTTTATCTTTTTGTATTTGATAGAATCCATAATACCATGTATCTGAACAAGATGTCCAGGACCTCCAGCAAATAAATAGGCCCACAACATACAAGATCCAGCAGTATATTTAACCGTAGGCATGGGGTACTCTTCACCCCTGTTTGCACCAAACACATCTGCTGTGTTTGCTGCCAAAAAGCCTCTTTTTTAGTTTCATCTGACCACAGAACCCTGTGCCGTTTGAAGATCCAGTCGTGTCTGACACCTGAATATGCTGGAGTTTGTTTCTGGAGGAGCGAGGAGCATTTTTCTTGAAACCCTCTCAAACAACATGTGGGGATGTAGGGGTTGTCTTTTTTTTTTTCTTTTTTTTTAGGTTTTCTGACCCCAAGACTCAACTAATCTCTGCAATTCTCCATCTGTGATCCTTGAAGAGTCTTTGGACACTCAAACTTTCATCCTCACCGTCCATTAAGGCAAAATAGACACACGTCCTCTTCCTGGCAGAATCATAACATCTTTCGTTGATTTATAACTTCTTAATTATTGTCCTGATGGTCAAAATGGGGATTTTCATTCTTTAGCTATTTTCTTACATCCTCTTTCTATTTTGTGAAGCTCAACAATCTTTTGATGCACATCAGAACCATGTTCTTTGGTTTTATTCATTGTGATGGATGATTCAGGGAATTTGACCTTTGTGCTTCCTCATATTTAAACTCCTTGAAACAAGAAGTCATAGCTGGACAATTTCATGTTCCTAGTCACCCTGATGTACTTAAATTAATATTAATGGGAATGTACTTCAGAGATATTTTTCTCATAAAAAATTCTAGGGGTGCCAACAATTATGGCCAGAGTGTTTTGGAGAAAAACATTTACACTCACCGGCCACTTTATTAGGTACCCCATGCTAGTAACGGGTTGGACCCCCTTTTGCCTTCAGAACTGCCTCAATTCTTCGTGGCATAGATTCAACAAGGTGCTGGAAGCATTCCTCAGGGAGTTTGGTCCATATTGACATGATGGCATCACACAGTTGCCGCAGATTTGTCGGCTGCACATCCATGATGCGAATCTCCCGTTCCACCACATCCCAAAGATGCTCTATTGGATTGAGATCTGGTGACTGTGGAGGCCATTTGAGTACAGCGAACTCATTGTCATGTTCAAGAAACCAGTCTGAGATGATTCCAGCTTTATGACATGGCGCATTATCCTGCTGAAATTAGCCATCAGAAGTTGGGTACATTGTGGTCATAAAGGGATGGACATGGTCAGCAACAATACTCAGGTAGGCTGTGGCGTTGCAACGATGCTCAATTGGTACCAAGGGGCCCAAAGAGTGCCAAGAAAATATTCCCCACACCATGACACCACCACCACCAGCCTGAACCGTTGATACAAGGCAGGATGGATCCATGCTTTCATGTTGTAGACGCCAAATTCTGACCCTACCATCCGAATGTCGCAGCAGAAATCGAGACTCATCAGACCAGGCAACGTTTTTCCAATCTTCTATTGTCCAATTTCGATGAGCTTGTGCAAATTGTAGCCTCAGTTTCCTGTTCTTAGCTGAAAGGAGTGGCACCCGGTGTGGTCTTCTGCTGCTGTAGCCCATCTGCCTCAAAGTTCGACGTACTGTGCGTTCAGAGATGCTCTTCTGCCCACCTTTGTTGTAACGAGTGGTTATTTGAGTCACTGTTGCCCTTCTATCAGCTCGAACCAGTCTGGCCATTCTCCTCTGACCTCTGGCATCAACAAGGCATTTCCGCCCACAGAACTGTAATGTTAGTGTTAGTATTTTGCCAATTTTTTGAATGGAAGATCAAAAGGATAAACAATGCAGAGTTATTTTTTACAGCCAGTTTTCATCATATTTACCAGGGGTCCCATTAATTCTGAGCACGACTGTATCTAGATCACAACAATGGAGAGCATTAGCATTGTTCTTCACGTGCACAGTAACTGAAATTTAAATTTGTTTAAAGAAAAGGCTCAATAAACTATTGCATAGATAGATAGATACTGTATAATACACTATGTGTCGATATGTATTTCCTTTTTGCTTTGAACTGCTCAGTGGCAGCAAGGGATAGGTAGGAAATTATTCAGGGCTCGACATTAAAGAGATAGTTCACAAAATGACTTTTTTTTATATGTTTCAGCTTACCTCAAGGGCATCCAAGATGTAGGTGTCTTTGTTTCCACAGTATTTTCAATATTTTTAGGTCAAACCGCGAATAGTCCGCGGAGGTAGGATAGTCCGCGAAGTGTCCATTTATGTATCCTTCCTTTCACGGGGAAACGAAGGGTGCATTTGGCGTCGCTTTTGAATAAAGTAAGCCTTCGTCGCGCTGCAATGACGCAACCGGCCTTCGAATACGGCCTTCGGAGGATGCATAACTGAATTGGGACAGCCTTCATCCCACCGCGATGACGCAATCGGCCTTTAAATTCGGCCTTCGCGGATGCAGCCTTTGAATTGGGACGTCCTTCGTCACGCGGCTGTGACGCAATCGGCCTTCAAATCTGGCCAAGCGTCCTTCAAATACGGACTTCGGAGGATGCAGCCTTCACATTGGGACACAGCTATTGATTCATTAATTCAAACGATTCGTTCAAATGGTTGATTCATTCAAGAATGAGACAGATGTTTATGAATGGGTCATTGAATCTCTTTGACTCAACTGATTCGTTCAAAATGCTGAATCATTCAGTAATGAAAACAGGATGAGTTCCTGTGAGATGCGTCGTGGTTCTGCTGTGACTTTTCTTTGGAACTATTTTCGCTGCTGAAATGGAACAAAAACACCCAATATTGCTTATAAAAAGTAAGTGACTTAATCTTAACTTTTTATTGAACTGTTGTAGAATAAAATCAGAATCATTCTCTCGGTTTATTGATTCCCTAATTATTTTTTTGTTTGCTATTGATGTTCTAATCAGTCTACTTTTCCGTTAGGGCGAGTACAATTCTCTTTTACTTGTCCTTCAAAAATCCATTTGTCCCGGACAAGCGGACAAGTTAGACGTCTGGAGATACGAACCGCGGCAGGTTTGAGTGTTTTGGATTGCATAAAATAATAAAAGAAACGAACAAATACATGCCGAAAGAAGTGCTAGACAGCAGAAGAGGGGATTGGGATCATGATTGTGATTTGGGTTGATTTTTAATAAAACTAGGCGGATGGAGGTATTAGTATGTGGTGTGTGCATGCCTAATGCATGTATTTGTATGTGTGCGAATATGAATAAATGTATCCTAAATGACAAAAAAAAGACTTGTATAATATGTATTATAGTTCAGTTTGACGAACGATATGTGAACGATATCTGCCTCGTTTGTTAATAGCATTGCTGAAGGACAACATGCATCTTGCATCGTGTGCTATAAAAAGACGGTGGTGTACAAAAAGCGTAAATTTATAGTTTGCCTCAAAGTATTTTATTTGTGTATTTATTTAATTTTTATTATTTCTTTCCCAAGCTCATAAAATAAATTTGGGTCGCACATAAATTGACAGGGTCGGTCGGAAACCGCAAACAAACAATTTTTTTTTTATGCCTAATCATATCATAATACTTTTGCGCAATGAAAGATTTATAGTATTTTTTTTGTTCTGTCCTATCTATCATATGTTGCTGCCTCATTAAACAGCTGTGCTATACATTTGTGCTATATTTATTTTCTTAGTTTTATAGTAGACTATAAAATAATTTATATTTTTGATTTTTATCTTGTTTTTCGCTCTTTGTATTTTACAACAATACAAAGAGCAATGTGTGACGCTTTACTAGATTTAGTGCTACACTTATTGGCTCTTATTTGTTCCCCACTAAATGTTTTTATTTATTTTTTTCACTGAATGTTCTAATTTTATAAAATAATTTTTTCTAGACTAAATTTTTAGATATGAGTTACACACTAATCTAGTTTATATTATAATGTTTGTCATTGGTTATGATCATATTTTTTGTTGTTGTTTTTCTTTATAAGGAAGTTGTCTGTATTAAGTAGATTGTGTTTAACACACAAAAGAGTGATTATCAGTTCAACACACAGTTATAGAAATTCTACTTTATTTATTTATTTATTTTTTACCGCGTTGGTAATGGATCTGTATCGGTCTCTTTTTTTTAATTATAATTATTAGCTAACGCTACGGAGGCCATAATATTTTTGACTCGTGGTTGGCAAAAAATGCATCTCAAAATGCATCAGATTGATGCTTTAAAATATTTTCAATTTTCTTGCCCCTTAGAGGGGTAATATCCTACTCACCTTTTTCACCCCTGACCTGTTTTCATGCCTGCATTTAACTCACACACACACACAGTCACGAATGATGCTTGCACTGTTTTTTGACTAATATGAGGACATGAGTGCATGAGCTTCATCTCCAGACTCCAGATCCGCTCTGGGGTGCGTTTCCCGAAAGCTTCGTTACCCAACTATGGTTGCAAGTTCCGTCGTTACCAATAGAGTTCAATGGAAATTGCGACCAACTTACGACCATAGTTGGCTAACGACGCTTTCGGGAAACGCACCCCTGAAAGTCACTTTGTGAGCATTTGTCATGTCATAAACGCACGGAAACTGAAAGGTCTTCACGGGAACCCATCAAAGTAAGCTCAGTTTAGCTTTACAGAAATATATTACTTTTGTACAGTAGAATTTAGATATGTCTCAGTGATAAAATAATACGAACACTAATACAAATACATTTTGTAACTTTGATTGTAAGGAGTAATACATTTTTCTTCCTGCACGTTTTTTGGCAAAAAGTTTGTTTAATTGCATGTGATTAAAAGAAGTTAAATTTAAAAAAAATGCTGTACAAGTTTTATGATTTCAGTTTATTAGACATGCTTTTTGATTATTACGAATTTTAACACCACGTAGTCGTAACACGCTCCGGGTCACTAGTAGTTCACTACAACACCCCCTCCCCCTTTTCTGCCTGAATTCTCTCAATTCATAGTCATCTTTATAAAAGGTTTGCTCCATTCCTCTTCAGGGTGTTGATGAACTGTTGGGGGGTGGTGATGATGAAGAGGAGGCATTGGACAAGGAGGAAGGGGAAGATGACGTTTCGGTGAAAACGTGCCCGTCTCCAGGCTTCAAGAGCGGCTCTCCGGCCCCTGCAGACACTGATGGAACATTAATGCTGTTTGCCGGAAGCTCCTGTTCCCGGACAGGGTGTGTGTTCGCTTCACTATCCAGCTGCAACACACACTCTACAGTCCACACTAATGTAATGTCTTCTGTCCAGGGATGGTGTGAGAAGATCAGGAGCTGCTGGCAACGAAGCATACAATAAAATGGGTGAGTGAATATGGATATTAAGCACCCTCATCTTGGGTTGAAAACATTGATTTCTTAATTTTAATCTGTTCTCATTTTGACGAACCGATATTGATTCTAGATTGAATCCCAAGAATCAAAGTCTGTGTTTTGCATGAACAAATCTTCACTGAACATTATTCGTAGCTCCTGCCATCCACGAATCACAATAAGCCTCCATACTTTTGATATGAAACAAAGTCTCAGCTTTCAAATCCTGTCAGTTTTATTTATAAGTTCAAGCAATAAATGTGTGTTTGTGTCTCTTTGATGTAGCGCCTCAGTTGAACCGATCATCTCTTCCTCTTTACTAGTTTACAGCAGCAAATAAACAGTGAACATCAGAAGGAATGTGGAAAGATACAGAATAACTTCCTGAAATTAGGGATGTCCCGATACCACTTTTTCACTTCCGATACCGATACCGATGCCGCACCTTTGGCTTTTGCCGATACCGATATTAGTCCGATATTTTTTTTCTTCGTGGTCCGACGTGCCGTATACGGCCCACAGGGTGGTTTATAGGTTTAACTTTGTGAAAGACAAAACAAAACAAACACAAAAGTAAACATAATACATATCTTTGGAAAGCTGAGAAACTCGTGATTCGAACGACGTAAACCATTTTAAGATACAATCAACACAGCGGGCACAATCTGTCTCTTTGTCAGACCACCAACAGCCAAAACAAACCAACACAAACTGGAAGAAACTCACCAATTAGCCATCTGTTAGTCCACATTCCAACAAAAATGGTTTGGTTTCACTGTAAAGCGTCCATACAATCCAATTTGAAGAAGTTTTTAGTCCAAAACAATTGTATGAATAAACATCCATGGAATGTAAATAGTAGCATTTCGCGTTAGCCGACAGCGCTATCACAACTTCGACGCACTAATGCTACGTTCACGCCGGACGCGAATAGGGCGTCAGGCGCGAATGATTTCAATGTTAAGTCAATGCAAAGACGCTTTACGCGCGTGAAAAATTCCTGCGGCGCGAATGAGGCGTGGAGCGCGGCGCGGAAGACGCGAATACGCCTCATTCGCGCGTCAAGTTGGCGTGAATGGCGCGAATTGAGCGTTGTGCATTCACGCGTTTGACGCGAATTCGCGTCTGCCGCCCGAGTTGAAAAATCTGAACTTTGGCGTGAATTCGCGCCGCGTTAACCAATCAGGAGCCTAGCTGCTTGCTCACGTGGTGAAGTGTCTGGATGCTTCAATAAATTATTTTGTTAATATGACTAAATGCATGGTGGGATTATGCACAACAAAGCAAATGTTTCATCACTTAAAACATTATCTCTATATGGAGACATGTTCATTTTGTATTGAATGTTATTCATTCCATATCTAGAAATAGTATTATGTTGTAAAGACAATCAACATATGTGCATAAATTCGTGTCTGGACGTGAGAGAGAGAAAAAAAATCACAGGACAGGTTAATAACTTTTGAAGGCTGGCTCTATTTATTATCAAAACAAAAATAAATGACAGCTAGATTAGATGGATGAGGGGCCGGGCGAGGGTGATCCTCGCTCAGATGCGGGACAACAGGTCATCAAACTGGGCGCGTGACAGGCGGAAGTACCGCTGACAGCGGCCGTCATCCAGCGCAGCTCCTGGAGCGAGCAAATGGTGAAACTCGCCAAACGGTTCGGCTCCGAAGGGTCCGGTGGACACAAATATACGGCGACGATGATCCCCACGCCGCTGTTCTGCTATCCAGAGTAAATACAGAGCGGTAACTCTCTTGATGAATGCTCGGTCGACATAAAAACAATGACCGCCAACGGATTTTGATTCTGACGCGCGTCACGCGCGTAAATTTCGCTTCAAACTTTACGCGCGCCAGTTTCGCTCTTGACACGCGAATTAACACTAGTGGTCAAGCGTCAAACTAGACGCGTCAGGCGCGAATTTGACGCGCGATTCGCGTCCGGTGTGATGTGAACGTAGCATAACACTATTGATCCGTCTAACTTCAGTTGAAACGTAAACATTGGAGAAAAAAGAATGTCAAAATGGCCGCTGACCCATGAACTATTGATTGACAGGTCATTTTAGCCAATCGGCGAGTGTTAGGGGTGTCTTCTAAACTCCAACAGCCAACGAGCGTGCCTGGTGAAGATCGGTACCTACCTCTCTTTGATTGACAGTTTATCTATCCAGTTGCAATAGAGAATGAAATGACGCTATTTTCTGATAGCCAATGAATTTCTGAAAAGACTGAAATGCAGCTTTTGTGGGTGGAATCATCCGATTACATTAGAATCCGTGCGCAAAGCGAGAGTGATTCTCTGCGCGCGTGTGCGTAAACACACATAAATCATCACGTGACAGGCTGCGCCGCTAAACTGGATATCGCTCATATTTTTTTCTCCCCTCCGATCTCCGATCTAGCGTTCTGGGCCGGTATCGGCGCGATACCGATGCCGTGGATCGGATCGGGACATCCCTAATAATAATAAAATCTGTAATGTATGAAAATAAGTGAACAAATCTTTAATTATCTTCCTGATGCACAAGGTTGTTGTGGCTGCTGTCTGTTTCATACACTAGCCCTGAGAACGCTGAAGGCCAGGCCTTTTTCAGCAGAAGAATAAATTTGAATACATTTAGTATTCTCACATCAAGCTTATTTTATTGATGAACGCATTGGGCTCTCTTTTGTCTGTGGTCAAGAAAGTCAGATGAATACAGATCATTAATGTCTTTGAATGCTAATAAAGAGCAACAAAAATAAGAATAAAACCTGCAATTAAATAGTAGGAGTAACCATCAGAAAACCACAGGATATCAATCCATGTCTATCATTTCCTTTTAGAAAAGAGACTTCCCTTACAGCTGGCTTTAACGGTAAGTTCTTTTTACGCACCGTTGTAAAGGTGTAAACATGTAAAGGTGTGAATCCAAATGACTTTCGTTATCTGCATACAACGCTATGTAATAGATGTGATAAAAACACGCATTATAAATTACTTTGACAAGCTGGGTTGAATTATTAGAAATAAATTGGACACATTAAGAATCTTTTTACACTCTAATAGTTTATTTTTGCTGCGGCAAAATATGATTTTCTCTCATTTCCTTCCGAATCTAATCCCTATTAGCATCCTTTACATGTGGGAATGCTTCTAAAGCAGGGAAACAATAATTTATTTTTAGCTGTCAAACTGATGGAAAACATTTTTTTTTTAATTATCTTTGAATATTGTTAAAAGTCTTTAAATTATACAGTTTTCACCCTCTTATGTAATGTGGTGTTCTTTTTCATTTTGCTGATATACGGCTTTGGATCCTAATCCGATGACACTGGAGGATGCATTAGGATGTAAGGTGTAAATGGAATCCAGCTAAAGAATATCCAGATACTATCCGTATAGGAAATGCATAAAACCAGGAATAAAGGTGATCTTTCACATTCACTCATTTATTGTGTTAGCTGTTGCCTTGATGTGAAGGGAAGGTAAATCCTCGTTGTCTCCCTATGCAAATTCTGTCAGAAAAAAAAAAGGGTCCAGATCAGCGAAGTATGCATGTAGCGTGCTAGATTTACATACAACAAATTCAGAACAGCAGATTGGAAGGCCATTACTGCATATAGATTACATCTAATCAACCCCAAATGACACAGACATAGAGACAGAAAATTACTTATTACCATTGCATTCAGCAAAGAGAGGACTGGATTACTGAATCTAAGGCCTGTTGAAATACGGGCATGTTACTATGTATGAGGACGAAGTCAATAGCGGCTTGTGTATAACTCAAAATGTCAGATGCACTGATGAACAAACAAAAAGTAATTTCATTTTAATACACAGTCAAAAATACTACCTTAAACTTCTTAAACTGAAACTGTTGTCATGCCTAACGCTTTTTAAAATACAATGTTCTTTTTAAATTAATTACAGTGTTTTCAAACATGTTTAAAGAACAACATTCAGGTTGGATAACCCTATATAGCATAGTGTATGTTGATGATAAAACATCTGGATTTTCTGAACTGGAGTAATATATATTTAGCCATTAACAATAATTAGAGAAAAATTGTGATAAAATATCTCCCACGTCTATGAAGCACTAACCGGAAGTGACGATCGGCGAGGGAGTCTGTTCAAGTTCAAGCTCAGGTTACAATGAATGCCAATGAAGAAACCGAGTTCTCCGATGTTGACGAACATGCCCATGATGGCCAGGCATATAATTATAAGCCCTCTAGGTGAGATAGAAGTCAGGGGGAGATCGGGGGAGGAACAATGGGCAGAGGAGATAAGTAACGTTAGAGTTGTGGTGTCAAGAAAACCAGTGGCGAATAGGGCAAGTGACTTGGTGAGTTAATGTAAGTTAGCACCGTGGCTGACGCTGGTTCATACTGTATGGCTATACCTTGTTGTTTTGTAATAAATATGCTTTAGCAAACATACGTTCAACCTTGTTCTTGATTAAACATCCATTTAGATTGTCTTAATTTAAGCCAGCAACGTTTTGTTCTCATATTCTACGCTGACAGTGACTAGTCCATCCAAGCAGGTTAGCACTATCTACATTGACTAATGACCATGCCACAACATCATATAAACAATGACAATACCTAAGCTACAATAACAACAGTCTAATGGCGCTTTTCCACTGCATGGCATGGCTCGGTACAGTTCGGCTAGCTTCGCATTTGCATTTAACATGGTATGACTCGGCTTGGCACGGCTCGGCTCGCTAATGCTCGGTTTGCTTTTCGACTGCAGTTAGTGTTACCATTTAAAGCGAGTGAAATGTGTGCCAAAAACGACAGAGTGTGTGGTAACAGACGCGGAAGTGAAGTCTGCTCTCTTCATCTGCACAAAATGCACACAAGACCGAAAAGCCTTGTTTTTCCTAGAAGGAAAAAGTATGGACACAATGTTCTGACAGGCTGCAATTCATGCATCCAGCACAAACACAGTAATTTACCATTATAAGGCTTCTCTAAAAATCGAACTAAAACTTCATGTC